TTTTATAACAGTCGTCTTTTAGGGATCAGAAACTTTAGCACAATTTCTTCTTGACATTCGCTTATATTTTACTGAACTATTGCCAACTTAATTTTAAATTGGTTTAAATTACTTTGAGTGAAACGGGAATCATAAAAAAAACACAATTTGGGCGAAACGGGTTACGCCCGTTATACCAATAAATGGACTGTATACTTAATTTCTTTTAAAGTTCTGAAGTCGCTCGCTGTACACGGTATCATGATATAATAAACGCAAGACTAAAATATGACTATTGACATCATACCTAGTTTACTATATAATGCGCAGTATAAATTTCAATACCCATCTAAAATACTGTCACAGGCACATATAATGTATATAATAGGAAAAATAGGTAAAAAATGCCCTAAAAAAAATATAAAATCCACTAAAAATTCAAACAATGTTGTGGTTAGAACACGAAATAGTTGAAACACATTTTTAGTTTGGAAAGCATCGTGTAAGACATTCCAAAAATAAAATGCAAATACATTGAAATCCGATCATAGTTACATACACGTACAAACAACTATTCAAAATTATCTGTGTAAATAATAATACAGTTTAAGTAATTATTATTTGTTGATTAAATAATATTTTTAAATATTTTACCTGAATTATACTGAATAATTAAGTGCTTTGCCAAATTATCAAATTTGAAGTTTCGGCGGTTATCAGTCAACAATGACTTCTATGTCGAAAAAGAACATTCAACCACAAAATAGATTATAGCAGAATGGAAACTCTTGGCCGCCTAAATTTTCGTCCGACATTTTAAAAGGGCTCGACAGATTGGCCAGATAGAAAGAAAAAAATGTTTATATTATATCTGTATTATTTATTATACACTGTCAATTATGTATTATCAACATTTTTGACAACGAACCATAAAATGCATTGTTTTGTTTTGTAAACCAATTAAAAAAATTATCGGCCTTAGGTTTGTTGGTAGACATCACTGGTCGACTGAAGACATATTTTGTTTACTGATTTTTTTTATGGTTGTTTTCATATGGTTTTATACTAATTCTTACGATTTTTGTGAAAACTTGTTGTAGTTGTTATTTTTCATTATCAATATATTTTATTATTACTTACTTGATTCTTGTTGTATAAACATTATAATGTCTAAAATGTCGTACAATAGACTCCCAATTTTGTTGGGCGTTTAAAAAAATATTTTGTTTAAATTATTTTCAAAGCTTACCATTAAAAATATTTTCTAATTATAATTAGTTTTTACTTATTATAAAATTATAAAATTAATTTATATTTTAATACAGAGTGATTTATAGCAGAACATTTTTTTTCATAACAAAAATTTTAACTAAAAGTAATGCTTAAAAAATATTTTTTTATGAAACATAATAACTATCATGATTAGGGCCCGAAATTGTATGCATTTGCATATTTTTATATATTAAACTAAGTAACTAGGTAAGACAGAAATTTGAATCTTAACCTAAAGTGTTGGTATGCAAAATTAAATTTGGCATATTTTTGCATACTTGGAACATTTCAAATTATTATGCATATTTTAGCATTTTTCTGAAATATAATGCATATATAGAAAAATATATTACGAAGTTATTAATATTATTATTTATTACTTAGCACATGTCCATCGTAAATTCCGTGAATCGTGCAGTTATATAATTTGATTTTTGTGTTATAATAAGATAAGATAAAGTTTGCTATTAGTACCAATACGATAGTAACTATCCAGGTAACTTTAAAAATATTATAAAAATTTGCTTGATTTGTTTAAATTGATTTTCGTTTGTGAATTTTTGTTTAAATGAGTGAGTGTTAAAATAAAATTTAATTTCAATACAACATACAGTTCCATACAGTTCAATAAAATATATAAAATACAGTTGATATATTTTAAAGTATATTTTTTATTGAATATTTATTATTTAATGAATCGTGTACATTTTAAAATTAAACTAATTTAGTAAATAATAAACATGCATTTTTGTTTGCATATTTTCGCATATTTTTGCATATTTTGAGTGCATATTTAAATAACCATCGCATAAATGCATGCATATTTCGTAAATTTTTAGTGCATATAATTCTGGGCCCAAGTTATAAGCAATAAAAACGATAACTTAAAACTGGGTTTACCATATATATATTGTACGAGGTATAGTAGGTACCAGTGCCGCAACTACAAAATAGGAGGCCCGTGTATGGTAATTATATTGGGCCCTATCCTTGGATTTATTTTTGTTCAATTTAAGTATCAATTTTTTTAAGTTTTAAAACACGTTATACATCAATTAATGTTTGATATATGTAAATATATCAAACTAAATACCTGTAACCCAGTTGTTCTCAACCAGTGTGCCGCGAAATCGATTAGATATGCTGCGAAAAATGTCTGATATTTGAAAATACCGATTAATAAAACTGTGACAGTTAAATGTCAATTAATTCTGCAGATATATATCTAGATAAACTGTATAGTGTACCCTGCACGGTTAAAACCTTACTGGATTTGGCGTAGCCAAAGTTTTTGTTGTGGTCCAGTGCATGAGTGTGCCGCGAAAAATTGTGATGTACAAGTGTACCGTGAACAAAAAAAAAGGTTGAGAACCACTGTTATAACCAGTGGTTATTGAAGGGTATACGGCATATACCCAATACGCTATTTTTATCCATGGCGTATAGCTCACGAGAAATTGATGATGTGTGGCTATACGGCCGTATCTAGCATATAGCTAGTAATTTGACAAATATAAATAGTAAAACTTATGGTTATATTTATGACGTGATTCGGTAATGAATATATTATTATTTTTCATTTTTTTTTTTTTTATGAAAAATCCAAATTTGTTTTCATTTAACAAGTTTTCATTAGAAAAATGGGATCCCAAAGACTATGTGAATTCGTGGATGATAAATCATAGATCAGCAGAAGACAATAGAAGTAAATTATGTCATCCAGATGTAGATCCGAAAAGTGAAAACAAAACAAGTCTTTGGAGAATACAGACGTAAAAAAAAATTAACCATGATCTATTTTTTTTTTTGATTAAATTTTTTTGTTTAAATTGTTTTGTCAATGTGACAGTAATAAACGTGATATAAAATTTAAGCGGAGCCTGAAATTTTTTTGTATGTCATATTATAAATTAATACCACAAACATGTGCTTTCTAACTTTAAAAATTAATAGAGATATGAAGAGTGGTTAAATTAAAAATCAATAACTACTTAATAAAATAATTAGTCCATTTATTTAGCATGTAGAAGTATTATAGAATAAATACAAAAGTATAATATTCTATCAGGTTTTAAGTGAATACAAGTAAAGTGAATATTGTTCAAACGAAGTGACAAAAATTTTTTTCGGTTCCTACAATATGATAGTTTCTTCATGAAATAAAACGTATACCCATGATTTATTTCAGCAATACATCACTGCCTATAACTTTTGTATATTATACTTCACTACATATTTATGTAGTAAATTTATTTAAGTAGTTTAGTTAGGTATGTTATATGCCTACTCAAATACTCAATGGACTCATTGTTAAATAAATATTATATTATTCTAAAATATTATTATAACTTTACCTAAATTTTAAAAAAATTTCTATTTATTATTAAATAATTGTGTGTTTGTAAAGTGTAATTTATTTCAGGCTTTGACTAGGGGGCCTCCCCCAAATTTATGTAAGCCTTAGGGCCCATGTGCGCGGCACACTCTGCACACCCGGTTTTTGCGGCACTGGTAGGTACTTATGTTCCATAATCAGATCGATCACCGATAAAGTGGTGTTGATATTTGTTTGGATGCGGATTTATAACATTGCCTAACCTTTTCAGTTATTGTCAACAATGACGAGGATATACCGACAAAATCTAAATTTTCATATTTTCCGATAACACATACATGACATATGAAAAATAATATAATATTATTGTTTTGTTAATTTATTTTATTACACGCCAACGGATTTCTCAAGAATTCGCACCACCAGGCAATTCACACATTTCACGTTTTATTTTATGAGATTTCCATACTAAATATTTTTCAATGAAAATTTGAAACTCGAGGCCTAGAATAAATGCCCCGTTTTGCATCCCCTTAACGTCAGCCCTGAATATAAGAATAGAGATGAGTCGTTCATGAACGACCTAGTTCAATTGAACTATTCACTTTCGTGAACGATATGAATTAGTTCATACGATTAGATGAACTAGTCATTCATCGTTCATTTCCTTCATATCGTTCACATCATAAACTACTATATGCACTATACATGTACAGTATACAGTATACACTACCGTTCACTGTGAACGATTTAAAGTTCGAATTGATTAGTTCACTATTTTTTGAGTTTCATTTTTTTCATTTTTAATTGAAAAATATCCATAGCATGTTATTTAAATTGATTTGCTTATTTTTACTCAACTAACTCAACTATTCAACCGATACATACTACATTCGTTAAAGACATATACACTTATTTTTATGTCAAAATATATAAAAACAAAAATAAAAAATAATAATAATCACGTCTGAAATATGAACATACATCTTCAAGGCCTTCTCATGTTCATATAACCGTATGTACGGAGAACACACTTCGAACACTACGTAATACAATATATTAATTACACAATATGAACGATGTAACGACTGAATCACTGAATCGTTCATTTTTGTGAACGATTAGTTCCCCGTATCGTTGATAGTCGATACGGAGAACAATAAGTAGTTAATACATGTGAACGAGTTTTCTGAACGATGAACGACTGAATAGTTCACCTTGGTGAACGATTAATCCCATCTCTATATAAGAAATATATTTGTATTTTGCTCAATTTTAATATTATCAATTATTCTTATCAACAATCAGTTATCAAATATTTGGCCTACAGTGCAACCAAGATAAAATGTACCTTTGTAATTAAACTAGAACAGTATACAACCTGTTTGCTTCAAGTTGATAATTAAATCAAAAGTCCAGTAGAAATCAGAATTTAAATCATAGTAAAAATATCCACAAATTCGGAACCCGCATTTCACTATAGCAATAATTAATTATTTATGTATCATAATTTGTAAACTGTAGATAACTGATAAGTAAAATTATTATTGGTCTTTTCCTTGACGTTGATTGTAGTGCAGTTTTTCCCAAAAATTATTAAATTATCTTCTGCTAGCGTTGTTAAGTGTACTTGTTTTCAATTATGGATTCTTAATCGTGGTATTCAAACGTTTATTTACAATTACGATTAATTTTATCTTCCATATTTCGTAATTCGTTTTTAATTTGTTGTACGTTTTGTATTGAACATGGACATTAATATAGAGAATCGTTCTGATTGGGAAAGAAGAAGAAAAATACGACTTGCTCAGGTAATTAAATATAAGTTACAACGTTTAAATTGTGAGTCTAAAAACTATAACTATTATTTATAATGTAGGTTAGAGATCAATCTAAAGAATTAGCTAAAACAATACGTGAGCGTGTCCATAGTGCAGTTGAAACCCAGTTAAAACAACATGAGACTATTAGAAATATAAGAGAACATAAATATAAATCACTTGCATTAAGCAAATTGAAAAGCGATTTTAATTACCTAGTGCAAGATGTTGGCAGTGGATATTCTGTTGCATCATTTCAAGTAAAATATGCTTCTTTCAATGTGGTTGTTTCTTTTTTATTTATATATTTATTTTTTGTATTATATAGCCTGATCCAAATATTGTATTAGCTGAAAAACGGTTAGTAAATCGTTGCAAAGCAATTTCAAGGGGTCTTGAAGCAGATAAAAGACAAAAACAAATTCAAGATAAACAACACATAGATGTAGAAATTAAAGAAAGACAAAAACATTTTAATAAAACTGTTGAAAAAATACGGTCAACATTAATATCAACAATTAGGCCAAATGCGTAAGTATAAATGTATAAGTATATTTTATTTTAAGTAGTTTGGTGCTTCTAATTTAATAAAACAAATATTAAAATTTTTCTAATTTCAGCGATAGTGGTGACAAAAACATACAAAATATTAATAAATATAATGAATGTTTTCTAATTCCAAGTCAAGTAACTTTGAACGAATCTAATATTATCAATTGGAATGTTAACAAAGTAAAAATAAACTATGCTAATATTGTAGTTAAACCATTTCTTAATAATGTGTCTCATGTTGAATTATTTATTATGATATAGAAAACTTCAAAACCTTGGTCAATGGTTATTAATTCTGAAGAAAATAAATTAGTCAACTTGCAACAATTAGCTACACATGATGACAATAAAGAAAATGAACAAGACAAATGTAAATTAACAAAATTAGAAACCGATGTTAAAAATTATGAAATATTAGTAACAGAACTTAACAAATTATCTGCCGAAGAACAAAACATAAGAAATAAAATATTTACTAATAATTGGAAGGTATGTTTTGATTTTGAATTTGTATATATCATATCTATAATAGTTTTTTATATGCTTAAATGTTCAGGAAGTTCTTGAACTTAGTAAAAATAATGAAGTTTCCTCAAATTCAGAAAAAGAGAAATATAAAAAAAATATTGAAGTAAAACATAGTTTGGATGAAAGAACAAAATATAATATTACTGGTAAATATAATATTTTATTATACACTACAACATTTTAGTATTTAAATGTTAAGTAAATACAAATACTATTGTGATAAATATAGTCACATAGGGTTTTCAAGACCTATGAGTAATAATTGTTTATGTGGCAATGTAGAGTCACCAAACCATGTTTTCTTATGGAAATAAAATAGAGTATGGTCTATAGTAGTGGCAGCCAAACTTTTTTCAGCCACGATCTACTAAAAATATACTTCACTTTTGAAGATCAACTTTCTTGGAAATTTTTTTTATTATTAAATAATTATAATTATTAAGTAACATACTTGCTTAAAGTGTATATAAACATACATAAAGTATTATAAAGTAATTACTAATTACTAAAAATAATATAATGTAAAGATAAAACTTATCGACAATGTGTTCATAACCACCACAATTAATTTTCGTACACGTGACCTAAAAATAAATTCTAATGTGATTGACTGAAATCGTCCGCGATCTACCGTTTGGCCGTTCCTGGTCTATAAAACAAGTTTATAATATTGTTAGTCAAAATACTCGAGCATTTTATTTTATAGCTCTTGTGTAATATTGATAGTTTTCTTTCTCCTTAATGTGTTAAAAAAAAATTAGGTAAACCTACTGAATCTGAAAAGAAATATTTTGACAAATAGTACTTAGTGTCAATAAGCGCTACATGATGCTTAATCTTAATTACTTAAAATAAATCTTTGATTGTACAGTGATAATTTTCCGTGATAAAACTTATTTTTCATCAGTCAAATTATAAACGTCTCAACTGTTTATCTTTATATCACTAAAATATTAATAGATAAGAAACAATATATTTATCAATAGAAATATACTCCTATTTTTTTTCATTACTCTTGCGAAAAATAAAAATGTTATTTGTATAAAAATACTTAATTTTTATAGATGTTAACATGCGAAATTCAAATTTAAATTCATTTTGTTTTCAACACTTTTACTTTTTATGCAATTTATATTTAGATGGGATAACTATATCCCAATATGAAAATGAGATTAGAATAATGAATGTTATTTGTTTAATTTTTTTCATTAAGCCTTGAACCTAATATTTCAGCTACCTCTTTTGTATTAAGAGTTAAGTCACATACTAAATTTTAATTTTAATTTTAATTAAAATTGATTGAAAAGTTGTGGTGTTTGTGGTATCTAGTTGAAAATTTTCATCATTATTATTATCATCAGAATCTCAAAAAATATCGTGATTTGAAATTAAATTTGAAATTTGTTTCAAAATTTTTTGAAGGTATAGGTACTGGTTATTCAGGAATATGTAGTATTGGTCATATAGCAGAAAGTAGATTTGGATAAATTAGTTTTGATTTTTTTTATTTTTTTTTATTATAATCGGAAACATTTACCTTATAAAAATAGCAATCATCAATGTGACTATTTTGAAATCTCTTCTAACCATTGATATCCAATATACCCATTGCTAAACATTTACCTTGTTTCCAATTTACACAAATTTTCAGCACAAGAACATTAAGCAATTTAGGCATATAGTATTTTATTTTTAACATAATATATTATGTTATTTCATTGTTTTGTTATTCTTCACGTGTAAAAAAAAAAAAATTTTAATTATTTTTAAATCCTAATGTTTTAAGTCGTTTTAATTAAAAAAAAAGTAAAATATTGTCCAAAATTATAATAATAAAATCTTAGAAACATGTTATAAAACGTAAATATTTTGTTTAGACTGAACTAATTACACAGAATAACCATCATCAATTGCACAACTTCAAAAATATATTTGAGTTACAATAAGATAAAAAATTTGATTAAAATTTCAATAATGTTATACTATATTTAATAATAATAATAAGTGTATTATTGTATAATTCAACAGAAAACATAATTTTTGTTATTTAAGTTGCTATACAACTAAATGTACTATAAAAAAAACTGATTACAAATTTGAATTTCAATGCATCAAAATATTATATTATTGAAACATAGAGTTAAAACTGCAAAGAATAAAACATTTATTATTTTATTAATTTTTTAATTTTTAAATTTTAGAAAAACAAATAGATGATTCATCAACATATATATCATCGTTATCATCTAGTAACAGTAGTGAGCAAACTAAAAAATTCACTAAAAAAAATGTCCATTTTGAAACCAAAGCAAATGAATTAAATAATATACAACGAAAGTCAAAGTTAATTAATAATAAAAAACCAGCTAATGAAAGACCTTTAAAAAATATAAATAATACTTTGCAAAGAATTAAGATGAAAAAGCAAATGCTTCTGAAAGAAATATCCACTGATGCAAGACCTAATATTAAAAAATTAAATATAGTTTCTTCAACTTCTAAACTGTCACCTTTACATAAAAGATGTTCTGCTGGTAATGATATACCCAAAGAAAGTTCTACAATGTACGCTGAGCTTCCAGATTCATTTTACAGTAGTCAACTTGAAACATTAAAAGAACAAATTTTAGATGTAAAATCTAAACCTTGTGATACCAAATTGAATACATCATTAAATATAGATCTAATGAAATATATAAATTTACTACTTAAAATGACACCTTTGGAAGTAGATAATTTATCAATTTCATCTTGCTCTAGCATTAGTCTTGAAGAAAGTATTTTACAGTCAAAACATAATATGCAGTACTACAGTGAAATGTTAAACTGTATATCTAAATGTTTAAATGCTGATATTTCTGACATAAATGAAGATATTATGTTAAATTCACCTGAAAATGTCAACTTGATTAATAGACTTCAAGGATTAACAAATTATTACCAAGAAAAGATACTGGAGATGAAAAATATCTGTGATGAATCTACTCAAACTTTAAATGATAAAGTAAATGTAGAAAATCTTGAGAGAGAATCTATAATTCCTTCAAAGTATGGCTTATATTGTTACTTGATAATTATATTTTGTAGTTAATAATTGTGAAATTTTGTTTTAGGAATAATTCTATCAATAAATCTTCAGATTCATCAGTTGATGGTGACTTCATCTTGAGACATCTAAACACATTATTGCTGAAAAAAGGACTCATTCAATCCGATAAAGAATGGCCAATGTTTGAAAGTATAAATAATAATGATGATGTTGATGATAATAGAAGCTTGACTGATCAACTTCTTGATATATCTACTGAGTATAGATGATAAGTAAAAATTACTTTTTAATTATTACAATAATCTAAATATATTAGAAAAAAAAAGGTTAATTTCCCTTCTATATATTTAACACTATAATTTCTGATTTATAATTATACATAACTGGAAACTTTATTTGACTAATTTTAATTTTAAATAACATTCAACTTTAAAATATCAATTTTAATAATTTCATACAAAAATTCAAACCTTTAAATTTAAACAAAATTACTTGTAAATACAATCTTATTTTAAATCTGTATTACTATATTATTATTAATGTTTATAAAATACATTTATTTTCCAAAATAATTTTTACTTTAAATTTTGATTTATTATTTAATTAGTAATTACAAACACCTATATTATTTTATTATAAGAGATTGTTTATATGTAATAATTTAATTATAATTTTAAAATGTATTAAAATTATATTGTAATTTAAAATTAATTTTAGTGGTTAAATTATCTAACTTATACTTAATATCTTATTATTAAGTAATTATTTTAAATTTAAGTATTATTTTCTTTATAAATTATTTCAAGAGCTCACCTTAAATTCCAAACTATACATTTTATAATTATAATTATTAATTAAATTACCACAATATTTGAAGTTTGTAAATAGTATTAAACTGAAATCACAATTTACAAATGTCTTTTGGTAATCAACTATCTTAAAATTTATTAATAATAAATTATTTGATTACATTTTAAATTATATAATTCATTGGTATTCACATTGCTAAAAAAAAAAAATTAATTATGTATAAATAGAGTATTTAACGGAAGGTTATAACTGAAAGGTATATTATTGGACTAATTATCAACTTCACTGAAATAGAACTTTGGACAAGCCAAACTTTAAATCTCAATTTAGATTTAAAATAGTATCTTTAATATGTTAATTTTTTATTTTAATTACTGCCACTGGTATGTTCATTATTTTACAATGTTCAATAAATCATTTTTCTTGTATTATGTATATGAAATGTGCTTTTATTATAATTTTTTTTTTATATATTTTTAACTAACATTTAGTATTACTAAATTATGTATGTTACTATTATTAATTTTATGTACTACTTATACTAACAATCAATTTAACATATTTCTAACAAGAATTTTTAATGCATTATTACTTATTCTATTATTAATGTATTATAAATAAGTAATAAAACTTTTTTTTTTATAGCATATATTTGTATATAAATTTACAATTTGATTATTTTAAGCCTATTAACTAAATTGTGGATTTATTTAATAATTTTTATAATTAATTTTTCTAATGACAATATATGGACAATATATGGATCTATGTATAAGCTTAACATTTTCTTAAAAAAAAAAAAAATTGAAAATAAATTATAGTGAATGACATAAATATTCAAATATTAGAATTTGAATAAATGCAAAACTTTAAAATCACTATATATATTTTTAATTATTCTAATTTGTTTGTCTTAAAATAATGACAATTATAATAATAATAATAGTTTTTGTATCTCTACTATGAAAATGGTATTTTCAATTCTTATTAATTTTTTGTTAGTGTATTTTATTAAGCTATAAAATTTAAAAGTAGAAAATAATTCATTAAATAATCTTTTATATAAAACTTTTGGAATCTGAATAAATTTGTTTTAATCATACTTATTGTAAAAAATGCCATAATAAACATAATATTATGATCTTAAAATAATTTAATACTATACGTTTTAGTTAAATTTCAAATATTTTTAGGTGAATCTTGTACACATCAAAAACAGTATTTCCAACAGTATAACATAGGGAATAACAAAAATGATTCTTCACTACATCGCCCAATGGAAAATATAACTGAAATGTTAAATTGGATTAAAAAAAAAAAAAGGCTATTGTTTGATGAGATTTATACAAACCAAGCATCTATAAGTGGTATTCAATCAATGAGTGATACTTACAGAGATCCTCCAAAAGAAAAGTTCAACTGTGTAGGACTTCCAGACTCATTTTACAACAGTACGCTGAAAATATTAGAGGAATATGTGAGAAATAAAAAACAAATAAAGAGTAAATCAAACAATAATAATACTTGGATTAATAAAGAATTAATGAGGTATATTTGTAATTTATTAAAAATGTCACCAAATGAAGTGGATAATCTTTCAGTGTCTTCAAACTCAAGTATTCAAATAGAACAAAGTATTTTGGAAATATCCAAGTCAAACTTGGAGTATCACAAAGACATTTTAAATTATATATCTATGTGCTTGGATAGTAATCTATGCGATATCAATCAAGACCAAGCTTTTAGTTCGCCTCAGTACATTGGTCTTTTGGACAAGTTATACAAGCTAGCTGATTACTACACTGAAAAGGCGCAAGAAATGCGAAACATTTGCTTGGAATCTCCAAGAGTTGAGATTAATGATTTAAGCTCAGAGAATGCTGTTGAACAAATTTCAGAAGAAAAATCAGGGTAAAATAATACTTTAAATTAACTATTAATATTATAACCAAAACAAAAAAATTGTTGTAGGGATCAAAAAAATTCCTGTACTATATCTTCAGAATTACCTATTGATGGAGCATATGTCTTGGATCATTTAAGCACTCTATTGGAACAAAGAGGGTTAATTTGTGCAGATGGAGAGTGGCCGATTTTTGGAAATGATGAAGATGATAGTAGAAGCTTAACAGATCAGCTTTTGGATATAAAACCACAAATTAAATCAGAAGATATAACAAACAATATTAAAGTGGAACTATTTGAAAATGGTAACTATTAATCTTTTATCTATATATGAATAATTCATTGAACCTATTTTCTTGATCATAATTATGTTTTTGGTATTTTTAATCAATATGAAAATAGGCTAATTTTATTTAGCAATAAAATAAGCGGAGGTAATTTTTTTTTTTTTTTTCATTTATTTACTAACAATTTTTAGTTCTTAATAATTTTAAATAGTTTCATTGATTTAATATTTAAAGTACTTAATTAAAAAAAAAATTCAGATTCTAAAAGTTTTAGACTTTTTTTTTTGATTTATATTAAAATCAATGAATAAAAACAATTTATCATGTTCAATTGTTCTATGATTTCTGTTGTGTTATAACTTATATGTCTTGTGAATATATTTTTATTTTATATCATACTATTTATTCATAAAAATTAAGTTTTTACTGTGTTAATAATTTATACTTATGTATTATTTGCTCTAACAATGAAAATATTCAACTAATGTTATAGAGCAATCGTAATATATAAAATTAACAAACACTACAAGTCTTTTGATTAGTTACTAAGTATTATTAAAATTAAGTATCAAAAGTCATAATATATTTATAGAATAAGCTTAAATAACCTTGAAATAAAAAAAGTCTATTGAAAAGTTAGATATTTACCTATTGTTTATTAATAAATTATTCATCAGTAGATTAGCACTAGTGAATCAACCATTTTTGATATAGAAAATATTTTTTATTGCTAAATAATTAAGTTATCTTACAAATTAATTATTAATATTAATTAACAAATAAATTCGTAAGTTTTATGGTAATTATATTTATATAATTTATCACAATAACTACACTAGTAATTATCATACTACAACTATTGTAGTATTAAACTTTCTTTTCGGGAATGCCTGGGCCTTATTGGTAATCCTCGATCAAACCTAGATTATTTCCGGAAGTAATGAATCTATATAAAATTGAGTAGCAATGCACTGAAACGTTAGATGTGGCTCTTACAAGTAGTAAGTACTAAATATCAACTCAATCCATAGATAACTGCGGCATAATCGTACAGTATATGTAAAAACTCATTACAATATACCAAATTATAAATAGAGGTGCCTAATACAATTAATTTGAATTCACAATAAGACTATATAGGGATCTATATAATATTATCGGTTCGTAGACGGCTGGCATTTAACGTTTCGGGGAAACAATTAATGGTTCGCACGCGCATGCACAAGTCATTGCATTTGATGAAATAAAATATTTTGTTCCGACGAAGAAACTCTGAAAATTAATCAAGCCTGACAAAAAAGCGTCAACTCCAAATGATCGGATTTCAATTCTATAAAAATATTTGAATTTATCAACCTTTATTCTAGGTATGGTGGAAGTCGATTTTCTTAAAAAAGACACTAAAGTAAATCTAAATATTAAAAAATAATTGAGAAACTCAAATAAGATTTAAAGACAATTTTTAAACAAATATCAAAAATCGATTTCCACATTAACCTAGAATAAAGGTTCATCCACTCAAATCTTTTTACAGAATTTAATTATGATGATTTTAAGTATGCGTAATATTGTCAGGTTTTTAGGTCAACAATGTAAAATAAATACGCTGTTTCCAACCGCCTTAAGTATCGGAACAGAAAAACAAATAATACACAATCCAGTAATAACGAATATGAAACGAGATCAATACGGAGAACTGACACTGAAAGCATGAATTATGTACAATGAATGACAATATATTATAGAACAATAATAAAATTAAAATAAATAAAACAGATAAGAGGGCATAAATGTATAAATATATTTGATATCGCCAGGCTACTTAAAAATAGATCCTAGTAATATATTAAATAGTAAATAGCATATTATTTATCAATTATCAATGTGAAAAGAAAATGTGGGAATTTTTGGATTTACATATATGAATATTATTTTTTATTCTATATGAACGAGAATTTTGTAAAATATAAAATAAAGTACAAAATTATGTATATTAGCAAAAAATATCACTAAAACTTTAAAAATAGCACTAAAAATCTAAAATACTTAATATGCAAAAAATAGCAAAATAAAATTTCTAAATTGGAGTCCCTGGTTAATAACACAAATGAATAGCTCACTCTGCAATCTTATAATATCCTATAATAAATAGAAAATTCTATAAAATCCGAACCATGTTTATTAACAAAGTGCGTTCAACAAATGAATATTTTGGAGCGGGCATTTCGGCAATGTTACGAACGATAACAAACATGAAATTGCGTCTAAGGTCCGACGCATATTGAGACGCAGGCGACGCAGCGCAACGCAGGAAAAACTGGGCTACCTAACTAAACGCATATTACTACGCAGTTCTGACGTTTCGCCGACAGTTGTTGTCCACAGTTACCAGCAAGAGCAATAGTATGATGGCCGAAGATTTAATAAATTTAAGTTCAGAATCAGATTCCGATGACAAATTTGATGCATTAATTTTGTTGTATTCGTTAAGTAAAGAAAAAAAACGTGAAAAAGTAATTTTATGAAGAGAAGACAAAGTCACGGTGAATTCAATTTGTCTAGTGTCGTATAATACATTGTAATATCTGACAGCTTCTATTAGAGTTTCTTCCATCGTAATTATTAAAAAAGCTTGACTTAATTAACAAGTTTAGTTTAGTTTAGTTTAAAATTATGTAATATCGTAATTTCCAAAACTACACAGCACGTGTACAGTAATCTGTGTCGCGGACACTGCGTAACGCAGGTCTACACAGGCACAGCACTACTTTGTCCTGCCCTGCCTCACAATATGCGCTAGAACGTTCTAACTAATAGATTACAGAAAACTACGCTGCGTCGCCTGCGTCTCAATGTGCGCCGGGCCTAATAGTGGATTATTTTGTTGTAAACGCGATAACGTGATCAAAGTTGTAATATTACGTAACGGAGACGACGTGGAAGGTAGTAACTGCGCCGTAATGGGCGTTACAGACGGTAGGTGTTGCACGACTTTTGGCCACCTCGGTATGTATCGTTTTATCTACACAATTAATTGACATTTAAGGTACGCGTCCATACGTACGCATTGTACGTATTGTATGAAACGGATTTTAGAGTTATTAGTATAGTAAGTTATACATATGCGTCCACTGACCGGCAGGGGACGGATTGCACGTATCGGTCCGTCGGTAATGCCGACGAAATTGATCGAATTGATCAACTTTTCCGACTGGTGCGGATGACGTCATGCGGATTGCCGATAAGTGGACACGTGTCACAACTGGTCGTCACTGTTCGCCTCACTGATCATTTGAATTTTGTTGCATTTCAACACTCAGCACACACGTGTTTTAATTATAATATATTTATTATTTGAATTATAATTATTATTAAGCATATTATGGAGATCGCAAGGCTTATAACAATTGCACAAGAGTATGAATAATTGTACAATTTAAAACACCCTCATTATTCCGATCGTCCACTTGCAACGAAAATGCGAATGTTACTTAAAAAAATCCGACCGTCACATCGGCAATCCAATCGCTACAGATACAGTACCACAAATTGATCCGTTTCATACGATACGTACGATACGTACTTATGGACGCGTACCTTTAACTGTCATAGTTTCATCAATCGGTATTTTCAAATATCAGACATTTTTCACGGCACACCTAGTCGATTTCGCGGCACCCTGGTTGAGAACCACTGCCCTATATCATAGGTTCTTAACCGGGAGTATCTAGATGGTTACTCGGGGGTCCACGAGGTAGCTATAAGTTTTTTTTAAATAAGCCAAAAATACATTTGTTTGGATAGCATTTTTAAGATAATAATAATTCTTGAAAGACTTGAAAGCCACTTGAAAGACAACAATGTTTTTAATTATAAAACTTATATTACGATAATCATATATGCCATATATTTTCAGAAACTAGCCAAGTATTAAACAAAACAAATTCAAGAGAAGTGTTGCTCTTTAATGTAGGAGTGCAGTGAGGTTATGAATTAAAAAATACCACACTTGGCCACAATGTAGATTTCACTACTTTGATAGGCCGACTTTTTTGGGAGGGAGTTTGGAACTTGGCCTTTTTTCACCGTTAGGTTTTTTTGGGAGATATCATTTATTTTTGCCGGCTTTAGCATCGTGGACGACGTGTTGTTATTATTACTTTTTTTAATTTTTTTATATATGTCGTATATTTTCTCTTGTAAGACCGTTTGGGTTTCTGTTGAGGAGCTGAGAATTTGGATTCTTGAGCGTTGTCAATACCAGGCAATGATAGTTAAGTACGGTCTTTTATTTTTCATCGTCGATATTTTTTAGACAAAATGTATGTTAAGTGTGGCCTATACAAAGTTCTTATACGGTTATATTCAACAATGGCACTATCCTTGGATTTCACCTGACAGAGATCAAAATTAATTAAGTAAATTACCTAGAAGCTCGTCACCCTGGAGAGGGTCACGTACAAGCGCGCCCGCAGGATAAAATCCCACCCGGTGTAAGATTAAAATTCTAAGGGTCACAACGTGTGTCTAAAAATATATGAGAACAAAATCAAATACTATAAAAATCGATACTCGGGAGAATTTATAGTCTTAAGCGATATGCAGTCATGTGTATATGAGTTACCAACATCTAACCAAGCATTTGGAAAACTTAATCCCTGACCGTTATGGATGGTAATAGCATAAGCTACACAAATGGGGAATTGATGTCGGTGCTCATAAGCTCGGCTAATGATTTCGAACTTGGTTGGAATCGTTCTAAGTTATACATTTATCAATGTTTTCTTATGACGTTACCACGTAAAATTATCGTCCGTATACCAACGAATATTATTAAAATATTCTATATTTGAATAACTATATTATATTTTGTATTTAAATAAAATAAATTTACGAAAATATTATTTTTTATAAATATATATATATATATATATAAGTCAACTATAAACGATTTCATATCACCGTATTGTAACGCTGTTAGAAAGAAAACGTTTATGCGTGCTAAGCGCGCCACTTCATACGTTTAGAAATACACTCTCTAAAGAGGCATTAATTTTGAAAAAAAAATTTTTAGATTCTTCCCTTTGGTTACACTGTAAAACCTACCTTTGTGCCAAATTTCACGTTTCCACCCATACGGGAATTGTCTTATAATTTTGATGATCCGTAAGTGAATGAATCAGTAACAAAATTGCAAATTTTGAAATACACCCATTTCGAAATGGTACAATATTAAGGGCTCATTTCCTTACAGCGTCCTAAGCTACTCAAGATTAATCTGTTTTTTAAATTTCAAAAGTATATCTTAAGAGGAAACAGAGATAAATGGGTTAGAATAACTGGGTGAATTGGATCGTGTAAAGATACACTAGCATTGCTGGAACTTGGCCAGCGCACTAACGTGCGCTCAGATAGAATCAACAGATAAATACGTTTATTTTGTAAATTGTTAAAATGGTGTGGTAGTAAAATGTATCATTAATATAATTAATATTACATTATAAACTGATTATAAGATTTTCAGTTTGTGGTTTTTCTTTGAGTCAAAAGTCAATCCATTAGAGGGCGAAAAAATCATCCGATGAAGCCGATTCGTTTGTTTCTCTCGGTGACGTTACTGAAGTTTATTTACGGACATTGAATCGAGTTAAAAAATAGATAAATAAATAAATAAATAAGAGACGTTTACAGAAAAGAATTATTATTAAGCCGGTGGGTCCATTAATGCAACAAGAAATATGAACAAGAATAACAAAGAAGCTATACGCGTAATACTGAACGATAACTGTAGGAATAGCATAATATATATGATAGCTATTGATAGTAATATGGCAGAGCGATAATAAACAAGTACCTTTTACTGTTTACAAATGCCCGTTTATACGGTGACAGTCCCAGTCATGATAGTGATTGTCAAAAAATTACCACCGTGTAAACCCAAGCACTGCACATTGTCAACCAGGGGGGGGCTAAAGGGATTATAGCCCCCCATGGGCCGTGTTTATATGTTTAGTGTATCTATAACTAGTTTACTACTATTTTTATTTAAGTATTTTAAACCTTAGGTATTAACTAAATTTTGACGATTAACGAATAACAGGTGGTTTGTCTTTGGCGTAGATATTACAGATTACTAATACTTCTAGTTTCTACCATGATTATCACTCTTTTTGATGGTTATCATGCAAGGTTGTGGCGAATCACTATAAAATAATTAATGACGTTGTCAACATGAGAAAAAGTGTTAATATTGAAATAAAAATGCCACGAGTATGTAAAAGGCAAACTCAGAGAAAAAACTTTATTTCTGAAAATCCAGAAATATATTTTAAATGTTCTACTTTTATTCCTTTTCTTGACTATTTAATAGAATCAATGGATGCTCGTTTTAATCAAAGGCTTATTGATGTTATGCCACTTGAAGAACTTATTCCGACCAATTTAAATATGTATGACGATGAAAATATTATTAAAGCTGCTAAAATTTATGCCCAAGATCTCCATGATGATATCTCATCTACAACCAGAGCTGAGCTGTTCATATGGAGGCAACAATGGAGTCAAAATACTATTCCAAAATCGAATTCTGCTATTGATTCACTCTCTCATTACATCAATCTTCAACCTAACATTAAAATACTTTTACAATTATTCGCCACGTTACCACCAGTTACCTCTTCCACTCCGGAAAGAACGTTTTCTGCACTTAATCGCTTTAAAAATGATTTAAGAAGCACCATGTCGGAAAACAGACTGAATGGGTTAGCTATGGCCAATATAAATAAAAAAAAGCAATTCGATGAAAGTGAAATAACTGAATTTGCCAGAAATTCGCCTAAGATGCAGCTGTCGTCAGAGTGGAGCAAGTGACTAAACACTGAAACCAAAATTATTACTATTATTATTATAAATTATATATTAATATTTTTAAAACTATACTAAAATGCTTGAATTACATTTAAAAACTCGGTGTTAAATGGTGGTTATCCAAAAAAGTGATTAGCCCCTCCCATTTAACAATCCTGGCTACACCACTGTTGTCAACTGTCAAACCATCAAGCTCGGCTTATCTAGTTGACAGAAAATACTTAATAGTGAGACCATATTCGTGCGCGGATTCCTGTTTCCAGTGTGGCTTTTATTTTTTTTTGATCACTCATCCCCTTATAAAAAAAAATAAATATACAAATTATAAGTAGAAACATAATTTATTAGAAAAACTTATATACTATCTGATTATCAATGACCGCCAGTCCCAGCAACTATTTTTTTTTGTATATCGATAAAAAAAAATTCGATATTCCAATAGTTATTAGCACGATTTACCTAAGTACATAATACTTACCTAAAAGTCTCAGGTGTGGCTATAGCCCTATAAGCCACACGTCTATGAGTGTGACAGTAACTGCTATCGTGGAAACAGCTACTACCACAGTCAACTACTTTAAATTTTGTTCATGAATTAATGTACTTGATACACCAAATTGATCTCTTCTTTGAATTCATTTTCTCCTATTCACACTTTTTTTGTTTTAAAACTATTATTTACCTAAGTACATAATACTTACCTAAAAGTCTCAGGTGTGGCTATAGCCCTATAAGCCACACGTCTATGAATGTGACAGTAACTGCTATCGTGGAAACAGCTACTAACACAGTCAACTACTTTAAATTTTGTTCATGAATTAATGTACTTGATACACCAAATTGATCTCTTCTTTGAATTCATTTTCTCCTATTCACACTTTTTTTGTTTTAAAACTATTATTTCACCAATAAATAAACATCAAATTAATTCATTCTTTAGATATAATTTTAAGATTAGGAAAATTGAAACTGTCAAGTTTACAGAAATAAAATACTATAATGCACAACATTCAGTACTATATAAAATATAAGACAGTATAATCAGCTGACATTATTATCATGACAATCCTGTTGCCGTGTAATTCTGGCTCAAGTGCATGCATATTTAGTGCTTTTTAAAGCTCCAAGTCCTCTATTTTAGTCATGATGAATAAACACATTATTAAGCATTTAATGATTATTTATAAAATATAACCACCAATTACAGAAAAATCAGAACTATAAACATTGAAAATGTGATTTTAGTATTTTATTAAATTTTTATAAAACGGTCTTACCAATAAGCTCAATGTAACAAAATGAGCAATTTAATTGGAAAATTAAGTTAATAATATATAACTCAACACTTTCAAGCTTTAATTACCTATTTCAAAATACAAAAGTGCTGCTGCTTAGCATTTTAGAAATGATAAAAATTTTGTATTTCAGTGTTCAATATTAATAACTCGTTATTACAATGAAATACATATTTAAGGATGTTTAATGAAAAACAATATAAAAAAAACAATTCAATGTACTTATAACCATCTCTGATCTATTTTTCTCTTTTTTTCGTTTAAATTTCTCTTACATTAATATTATAATGTATTTAACCATTAATATTATTAATTGTGTAACATAAAAATATTAATGAAAGCATAATTTTACAGAAAGTAGAGGGTAATATTCTCAACACTCAATCCATTACTTTATTTACATAGCTTAAAAATCTTTGTGTACTATCTAAACATGTCTTGTAAATATATTTACACAAGATTATTTGCTCAAAAAACTCCTTAATTTACAAAACATCTAAAATACAGAGAAAAATATAATATAGTTTGCGTAAATATATTTTTATATAATAATAATAATAATAATAATAATAATAATAATAATAATAATAATAATCATCAGTAAATTGAAAAATAATTTCATACTTAAGTGGCTGCAACTAAATTAGTTTTTTTTTAATGATTATTATTTTTTTTTATAATTAAAGATAATGAAAAGAACATAATATCATTTCTAAAATAGCTAATAACCAACTAGATATAAAAACATGATGAGCACATATTACAACAATTTCTTGAAAACTATGGGAAGCAGAAAAAAAAATTAACAAGTGAAAAAACTTATAATGTTTAAAGGATATAATTTTCATAAAACTAACCAACTAAATTCCACGAAAAAGTAAAAGAAAAAACATTGATTTATATACATATATCTATTGCACAACGGCTACGCTCTTCAAAAGTGTTAAATACATTTTTAAAAGTTCTCCTCTTTTGACAAATGGAAAAAATGTGTCAATTGTGTTTTGAAAACATAAGGCTTTGATATCAGCATTAGAAAAATAAAATTACTATACCTTTAATTAAGAATGTACACATTAAGTTGTTATAAAACTACAGTAGAAGTTTATTTATATATATATATATACACACATACATATAGTAGTAAATATATGTATAAATATGCATATACACATTTCTTATATTGGTACATTCATTATTAGCATGCGCTTAAGTGATAATTCCATCATTATTAAATTTTCTGAATTTTCTCTCCAACAACTACTGGATTATTGCGCCTGATTTCTTGTGCTCCAAGCTCCCTGTAGTCAAATGAACAATTGTGCTTGTCAGAGTATCGATGTATGCCGCAAAATAAGCCTCCACAACGGCATTCAAAACCTATGACAGAATAACAAAAAAAAAATATATAATATTGTGACATAAATTTACCATAGTTATTCATTTTTCTAATTTATAGATCATTATCTATTTATAATTAATTAACTTAGATATGATATAACTTTACTATAATTTATTTTATAAAATTAAGAAGATAGTCAAGAGTCCAATTCATGCAATTATAACAGAACATTTAACAAATGAAAAACAAATTATAACTACTCGTAGTACATTATGAATGATATTGAAAAAATAAAAATGTATACAATTTAGTTTTTAAGGTTTAAATTCAATTTTACCTGTAAGACCAACTTTTTTGCGGCACATGGCACATCGGTTTTTCTTTTTAGATTTGTCTTTATCATCATCGTCATCTTTTTTGCCATCATCCATAAAACTGCTGTCATTAGAATTGCATGCTAGTCCGATGTCCAACTAGATAAAATAAAATAAATATTTTAAATATGATAATACATGATTTATATTCACTAAGAAATTTACATCTTTTTTCGAATCTGAGGGCAACATTGGAGAAGCAGATACAGGTGGAATTTGCAGAACTGGTATGGTAGGTATAGCAGTCTCCATCATGGTCTGAGCAGTGACTGAAGGTGGTGATGGAGCAGTTTGTGGTGGGGCTTGTTTCTTTTTTAATGCCTCTTTATAACATAGAGAGCAAAGACCATCTGTAGAAGGGTTACCATAGAAGCCACATCCACCACGACATAAAGCCTGCATTGAATTAGATTCTCGCTCCATTTTATTAAGAAATTGTTTTTTACCGTTTAATAATAATCTGAACGGCTTTTGATAGCCAACAGAAATTATCTAAAAAAATAAAATTGAAATTATATTTATATACAACAGTAACTAAGTAAAATATAAATAAAAAAAGAGAGATCAATAAATTGTATTGTACAAAAATATAATACCAAACAGTAAATAATAATTAGTTTTTTAAAATGAAGTTCAATCTAAAAATGTAGTATAAAACAACATAGTAGCTTCATCATGAAACAGTTGATAAAATTATTAAATTATAAAAAACATTAACAACCAAAAAAAAAGCACATTATTTTTGATAGTATTTTAAGATTCAATTATAAACGATTAATTAAGTAAGGAAAGTAAATACAATAAAATATAAAAATTTGAAACATCCACAAATAATTTGTATAATATATTTTGTTTAATATGAGTCAATAAGGATTATTAATAAGGAGGTTTGGTTAATTAAATTAATAAAAAAATAAAATAAAAATGAACATAAGAGTCTATTATAAGGGTCAAGAAGGCAATAATTGATAAAGGTGTATTACTAGTTGAAAATCGCATCATAAAATAGTGTATATTGAAACATTACATTAAAGGAAATAACAGTCTTATACAAATATAAGAGAAAATATTGCTTATAATATGCATCTATAAAATATGCTTTGATGTATTTTAGTTGTTTGTTAACTATTAATAAGACCTACATAATTTCATGAAAAATAATTAATTGAAATTTATTTAAAAAAGTTTTGTTTTAGTTATAGAATTATTATATTATACTTTCCATCTCTTGTTCAATCTCGATTTAAAAAAAAAAGTTAATCATAAAACAATAATTTTTTATTTAATGTCAATTTAAGGTATAAATAATTAAAAAAAAAAAAAAAAATGAAAATTATCTTTTATATTAAATCATCGATCTAATAACATATTATTAAAACTTATTCGTATAGTTTTGATAAGTTTAATCACAGACAATTTAATAAATAGTATAAACTAAACATATGCTTCAGTTTTTTAATGATATATTTAATTGAAATTAATAAAGTTAATGTAACTATTTTTTTTTAAGTTTAAGTACGATTATCTACTTAATAAACCAAGTCTGTAATAGAAAAATTTTAAATAATTCATTGGTTACCTTAGGATTCACAAACAATAACTTATTGCATTCTAACCATAACAAAATTCAATCAACAGTTTAAAAATAAAACAATTTAAATTGAAATTATAAATTTTATTTTATTTTCGATAATTATTTAGAAACAATATTAAAATTTAAACACAGTTAAAGCATAAATAAAATAGTTTTTTAAGGTTCCTATTTCATTGAAACATACATTTAGCTAATATAGAGGACATTTCAATAACTTAGATTTGAAATTTAAATTTTTAACATTTAAAAAAATTCATTGGTACTAACATTGTTACAGGTGATAAAACTCACTCTTTACATCAAATTAAAATTAAAACAAGATATCTAATAAAGAATACCACTGCACCTTCAATTTCATTTATTTACAACTAATATTGTTCCAATACATGATAGTGATTGTAATATGAACATTATTGTATTGTAATAAATTAAATGTTAATAAATTATGAAAAAACTACTAGATTAAAAAGAAACCTAAGGCTCGATTATCAAAATACATAACTAATAAGAATTAGTTTATAACAAATCATTTAAATTAAAGAAAATAATAAAATACTTCTTCCCTGTACAGGGTTATTACTAGCTGTAACAGCATCATACTGTTGCACCAAAACAATTGTGATCACTTAAAAATTATAACATGCAATTTAAATTGAACTATATTTACCTTAAACGTCACGCAAGTGTAATTGAAGATTGGTTTATCACAGGTTGTGAAACTGACGAATAATATTGCATTATAACTTTGAATAAATGTCACGAAAACATTGGCTCTTTTATGATAATCATCTAAACAATTAAAATAATGATTAAGTATATCTTAAATTAAATAGGTACCTTATATCAAAGAAAATCAATATTATATTAACAGAAATATCTCATATAAGGTCACCTTTATTAGTTCAAGAATTCATAAAACTTTTGAAAATAAAAAAATTAAAATTATCATGTAAGAAAATTTAATTATTTATAAAAATTGGAATCATGTAAATGAAAAAACTTAAGATGCCTAATTTTTAAACTCGATTATAAATTTATGATTTAAATAAGGGACATAAATATTTTTGCTTAAAATTAACATAGAACAGATAATTACTTGATAACACTTAATTTAATCATTCATTATTATTATTTTGGTAGCAGTACTAATTGAATAATTTTGGTTTTAAAATATACCTACATTTAAAAATAAAAATGATTGATATATCAATTTTTTTGATAATATAATAATTAATTATAAAAAATACAATTTTAATTTTAGTATGAGATTGTGCTTCATAAAATAAAATACATTTTAAAAAGCAAACCAGTTTTTAGAGTTGGACAGGATATAAAATAATTGTGTACTAGATGAAAAGACCTTGACATGTCCTCTATATCCATTGATCAAGAGTTTATTTTTTCTTTACTTGAATAATATAAGAAAAATTATAATTTATAGTTTAATTAAGAAATAAATGATTCCAAATATTACTGCTCAGCATATGTTTACACAGAGTAGCAATAACAACTATTAAACGTCTGTTTAATATGCAGTTGTTATATTTATTAATTAATAATTATAGCTATTTTAAAATTGAATTTAGAGAAAAAGGCAATACCTATGGAAGCTATTACTTTATAGCAGTAAATAAATAAATTAAAGCAAAATACTATTAATATCAAAATATAAAATTATAATAATAAAATAATTATACTTAGGTATTAATATATATATATATATATTTATGTATATTTTAATACTTCAATAGTCTATATATATATATATATATATATATATATATATATATACACAACTATCAATCAAAAACATACCAGTGAGTAATAAATTATAATTAATATTTTTAATTTCAATTTATTTTTAGAATACATATATACAGTGGTACATTTATAATTTTTTTTTTTTTGAGGGGGGGTCTCGAACACCCCAAAAGAAAAAAAGGATTACAAGTCATAAATAATTAGCTACAGAGGTACAGAGAAATAAAACATTAATTAATATCATGTAGTTATAAATAACTCTTAATTTACATTAATAATAATAATAGAATATTATAATTATAAATTCATACCTTATATAAATTTTTATATCATAAAATCACTTATTTTTTAGAAAACATTCAAACCCCAAAAAAAAAAAAAATTGAAAATACACCACTGCATATAGTTTAGCTATATACTCAATTAGTACTTGGACCAAACAACAATTTAAAAATCAAACATTGAAAGATAATCCATAAATTGATAGAATTTTGTTAAACTTAAAAATGGAAAAAAATATAATTAATGACATAATAAGAACTAAATGCATAGCTAAAATTAAAAATGTTTGTAATCACTTACTCTAATACAATTGAAATCATTTACAATTAACAGTCTAAGTATATCACTCAATATCAATATAACAATGATGTAGTAATAACTGTTATCTGAAAGGAAATAAATAACCTATAATTAATAATTAAAAAATGACAAAAATGTCACAAATATTTTTATATTAAGAATTAAACAGATGAGGTACTTATACTCATAGAAATCAACATTTTTTTTCCTTTCAAAATACACTGAAAGTGGGTAAAAATAAAATATTCCATACATAATCTGTAATATCACTATGAAGAGAAGTGGATATTAAAAAATAAAAAAACGTAATTTCTAGAGGAAATACTATGGAAATTGTTTTTAACTCAATATGGAACAACAATGAACGTTGTTACACATGTTTAGCAATAATAACCTTTACATTATTACATTCTCGGTGCGATTACAACACAATCACACGCCTTGCGCGTTCTTTGTTAATATTAATTCGTAAGTTCCATCTGTCATTAGAAATAAACCAACTACTGTTTAACGATTCTGAGGTCAATAACAGGAATCGATTTGAATGCCGAAATGGGTTTTACGATGCTAAGTTAAGCAACACAATAATTAAAACGACGGAAACAACATCGGACATCGCGTAAAGGCCGACGCGTAAGATGCACTGCCATTAACTGATATCAATGGTAGGAAGCGGCATACACACACACACACAAGATAACGGACAATTTGACGTCTTAAAATATAACGCAAAACAAAGAAATTGCGTCTTCGTCCGATTAAAAGTAGTAGTTAGTAAACGCGTGCCAATACTGTCGAGTCCGGTTTTCTCTCGGGTAATGGATTTTAAGAACGTAAACGATACGACTACAGCAACTCGAGACAAAAAAAAAAAAAAGAAATAAAATGTCTAATTAAAAATGTTATCCTCGGAATTCAACGTCAATATCGTGTGATAATGTAATAACACGCAGAAGTACGACGTTGCTCGTAGCCATCGGGCGATTTTAACCTAATTTGCATAAGATTAGTGACCGGAGGAGGGGGGAATGGAAGAGAAATTTTCCAAAAGGTAAAAAAATACAAATCCCTTGCAAACCTAAGAAATCAACGAATTCGGTCTGTACATGGTTCATTTAAATTCCAGAATAGCAGCTTTTGCAGAAAACACGACAATGTAGGTACGCGCGTTGAACGCCAACAAAAGAATATGGACCGTCAAGGACGTGCGCATTACGAGTTGGCCTCGTCGACGTCTGTGGGCCGACATACTCGAAAAATACGTGTAGTTTCCGTAACCAAAACGTACGTTTCGGGACGGCGAACAGTGAGCGGACGAAAGACACAGTGACGCGTGATCCAGGGATAAAATGGCGACGGCCGAGGTAAAGTTTACAGAAAAATAAATATGTCCGCCAGTGCGGCGGCGGCGACGTACTCACCGAATTCGTTTTTGTAGTTGTATCTCGATTGGTAAACCTTTTGGCACACTGTTCCGGTCCGGTGACGGCAAAAACACTTGCGACAACGATATTTTGCCTACCGAAACGACTGGGTGAACGCGGCGCGCACGGACGGACAGAGTGTGACACGGCACACGGAGCGAACGGGGAACGGCGAGGAGAAAAAACCTTAATCACTCCGGAGCCACGCAACACTCGTCGAACTCGACAGGCGAAATGACGACGACAAATCAGAAACGCGCATGATATCAGTGGTGAACGCGGACGGACGGTGCACACACAAAAGGATGCACATCCGGGCATGCGCACACGCACGATGACTCGTCATTTTACTGGGTGGGAGACGGACGCAGTGTGACCGCGGAACGGGAATCGAACGTCGGCAACCCCACAAACGAGCTGCCTTAGCTAACGTAGCTGCTGTAGCCAGTCATGGTGGGGCGTTCAACAATAATAATAATAATAATAATACAAATAAAAATAATAATAATAATGAGTAATATACCTAGAAAAAAAGACAGGAAATAGCCTTGAAAGAGATAAACCGATGTGGCATTGGGGCCTTTACGACTCCGTCGGTCGACGGTTCCAAATACGAATGTTATGCAGCCGTCGTCTACGCGCACACGCGCGTCATACGTGTGCGAACTGCGATGTTCGTAACACGTTATCCCCGTCTGATTGCTGCCAACGATTATTTTTTTTTTTTCTTCTATTTTCTGCTGCGTAAATTACGCAAATGTCTACGTGTACGTTACACGGTATGATTTAATACCGCGTGCACTCAACAACGGATTCCGTACGTTTTCGCTCGACTGGACGACCGAAAAACAAAGCCCTTTGTCGTTGCAATGGTTTCTAATAGCAGTTGTGTTCTCTTGTCGCTATTGATGTAAACGTATTCACGGTCATGACATCATACACGCACTCACGCGACTCATGGTTCTGTACGGTTCTTTGTTGTTAAACACCCGTTTTTGTTAATATTTTTTAATCTCTATTATTTTTGTGCGGGTTTTGACTCCGCGTACTAGGGGTACCGTTGTTGTCTAACGTGTGCATAAATTTCTTTTTTTTTAAAGTTTTTTTTTCTTTCCTTTCACCGTCTTGCCCCGCTGATCTATGACGTCACAGCCCGCACATAATCGGCTATATATATATTGTATTGTTAGCGAGACGCCTTGGTACTGTCATACATAATCTATGGAACTATGCCGTAGCCATAATCTCCGATCTTCGTTCGCGCGTGTGAAGGGCAAGGGCGCGCGCCAATACTACATACGTAGTTGTTTCACGTCGTACGTATGTGTTTTTGTCTCGAGTCTAGGGGACAAGGAACGTCGTTGTGTTGACACCGCGGCGCATTTAAAAATAATTATTTATCCCGGAGTATTTCTTTATTTTTTACGAATACAAATGTGGTTTAGATATTTGCATATTTCATCGGAACAGATATAAGAGACCAGTACCGTGAAAAACGGGTGTGGAGAGTGTGCATTGCACATAAGCCCCAGGCATCATACTATATTATGAGGCCTTAAAGATCCAATGACTGGCATGAAAATATCAATGTATAATTTATTTGAATGGTACCAATGTAATTTACTAACTTTACCAACACCCCATGCCCTACGTCCATCTAGGTTATTATGTTTTCATGTTCGAATAATTTTATAAATATTATAAAAATAATGATATCAAAATAACGTGTAATTGTTGTTTTAAAAGTATATTTACTTTAAAATAAAATATTTTTTATTTATTTATTCTTTTGTATAACATGTTTTTAATGATTACCTATATGTTCTAATAAACTAGTAGTTTTTGTCTAATAATATGTCCTAAGAATTATGCACAATAATATAAGTAGTGTATAACTATGTTACATTTTTTAACATTCCATTGGTATAATAGTTTAGAATAAATTATTTATTTCAATCACCATCATATTTATTGAGGTATTTAGTATCCTAATGTATACAAACTTTTTAATTTAAAAAATTCCTGCCCTGTAAAAATTCAATTTTTTTAGTTGCTATCAAAAATTATATTATGACAAGAGGCCTCAAGATTTTGATTTGCGTACAGGCCTCGATTAATTTAGTTACGGCACTAAAAACCAACCATATACCTTCAACGAATTAACCGCGTACACCATATTACGAAATGCGCACATTATTTTTTTTTGTAATTTGGACTAATTTTTCAAAATCCTTTGCAGACATATCATATGTAACTAAATCCTAATACGTTCTACGTCACGAATAAAAATATTGAAGTTGACGTGTTCAAATAAAAATAAAACGTTTCATGAATTAAAATATGATAATTATACGTGTACAACGCGCAATAAGTAAAAATTATCTCTATCCTACGGAATGCCAATCTGCAATGACCGCATAGTAAATATTAATTCGGTAAACATTTTATTTGTGTTGCGCAATAACGTCATCGCACTATCACAGAACAACAAATCTCAAACCATCAAAGTCTAATATCCAGTTGTTCTTTTAATAAAGAGCTCATTACTCAACCAGTTAATTTCAATACACCTTATGTATAATCACGTACAACATTAATGAAGTACGATAGTTACCCTTGAAAAATAATTTTGAACTTCTTTCTTCTAACTGTGATCTTGTGTAATATAAATACACATTTACTATAAAAATAACTGCTCATAATTAAACACGATATAATTTATATATATATATATATATATATATATATATATATATATATTATTTAATATTCATGAATGTATGTATGTGATATACGTATCATTATCCTCACAAGATGAATCAAAGCAATATTATATTAAATCAGGACGCCCAGTGGGGGCTATTGCCCCCTGAGATTTTTCATGTCAGTTACAAAATATTTCCAAATTTTATTCAGAACATAAATAAATATTTGACAGTACATTTTTTATTATTCTTCAGCACTTTAAGTCGTTTGAAGACATGGATTAGTAATAGGATGGGAAACGAACGATTGAATAGCTTGGGATTAATTAATATACATCGCCAAAGACATGATGAAAAAACAAATTTTGATTAAAAAATTGATGATTTAATTTATTTATTTTCTTCTAACAAAAAAAGATTATCATTACTTTATGAATAAAATAATTAAATAAGATGGAAATTTGGTGAAATTAGTGAGGGGGGTTGAGCAATATTGGATTATTACACCCCTGTACACAATTATTTATTTTAACAAGACAATTCACAAAGTTTGACAATTTGACATATTCAACAATTTAATCAAAAAAACAATTAGGTGCCTTATCTTAAACATTTTCGGAGTAGGTATTCTAAACTGAAATTATTAATTAATTAAATTAAACAACTAATGCGGGTATTATTACATATTATTAATATTACATTAATTACGATCGTTCCAAGTCATGACAATAAGTTTGTAAAATCTTACGAATTTGATTTAATTTTTATCACAGAATATTTTTTTTTAATTCAGTTATTAAAAATGCATTTTACAATTTTAATAATTATTGTATTTTTAGTTACTTAACAATTTTTAGGTCTAGGGGGCTAAGACCTGTACTTTACATTTCTAGGGAGCTTAGTGAAAGATGTAGTATATTATGTTAGTATATTCAGTGGTTTATATTTACTTACAATTTTTTTTGACCCTCCTGAGCTAGATTTCTGTTGGCATCCAATGAATATATGACCAATTCTGAAGTTATAAATATTATAATTAAAATAAGTCTATTAAATTTAAAATATGAATCTACCATAAATAATAAGTTGAATTTATGAATTAATGTCAAATATTTAAAGATATTTAAGATCAACAAAATATATTGAATATGTATATTGGGATAAATTTATAAATATTAGTTATCCATTATTTTTGTATCATATTAATTTATGTAAAATAATATGCTACACCCAGTAACACTGTAAATAATAATTAAACTTAAATGGTTTTAAAAAATAAAAGTAATAACATTATATTGTAATGTTGTAAAACATCCCCACATTATTATATAGGTGCCCATTTTAAAGAAGTGTATGAATTACAAATTGCAATCAAAATGTGGAGAGAATGAATATAAAATGTAACTGGACAATTTTATTTTCCTAAAAATATGCAGTTATATACATGCTATTTATTTCATGCAAATCAACATAAGATTTTATTCAGTTTAAGATTCTTGATTTAATTTATACTAAAAGCATTAATAACCTTAGAAAATATTCACTGTTCGGTAAAATTATAAAAAATGAATAAATTTATATTTATTATAAGCCACTTTAATCATCGTATGAATTTCATATTGTAATTTTATTTATGTATTATTTATTTAATTAAAATGTTTATTGTAAATAGTAAAATGCTAATAAATTTTGTTATATTTTATATATGTTAAACTATTACTCAGATAGGTAACCATGAATTACATCTTAAAAAGGAAAATATTGTATTTTAAAAATATATAACTATATTTTATTGTGACAATACAATATACAGTAGTTTTTATTTGTTAAAGCCAGTACCAGAAATTTGTATTTTTTAATGTATACAAACAATCTATAATAATATAATCTAGAGCAACAAATAAAGCAATAAACAAAAAAAAAATGAGACCTATAACTTTTTCTTTTTTACAGTTTTAATAACAGTTGTTATTAAATAATACCAAATTAAATAAGAGATGATGAAAAATACAATGTTAATATAATGTAGGCTATAAAAATTAAATAACATATTTGTTTTATAAATATTCCCAAGGTACATATTTTAGTAGAGCAGTCATACATTATTCTCCCTCAAACAAATTTAAAACAGAGGATCAACATTTTTTTATATTATAATTTATAAACATATGTGTCTGATTATTTTTCATTCATTTTAACAGTAATCAGCCATCGGGTCTAGCATATATGAGTTGATTTACTTCTGCACACTAAAGGCCTAGCCCATTCCACAAACTCATCAATTAAAACTGGCCAAGCTCCCTCTTGGTCATAATCTGTCATTTCATCATCAATGACACAAGCAAATTCTAACAACAAATTCCACGTATCTCTAGGAATTGATTTATTGTGGTGTTCCTAAAAAAAATAGAATTTGATAAAGAAAAAAATTGTTAAATGATAAAATAATATTCTATTAAACAATATTAATGGAATTCAAAAAAAATATATATTATTATTTGGCTCTATACTATAAATAGTATTATGATCTATTTATTACACTTACTCTTAAGAACTGACACCACAGTTCAAGGAACCTGAATCGGCCAACAAAAATTATGTTCCAGTAAGTAATAGCCATATCAAGGTCAAGCCCTTTTTGTCCTATATTCTTAGCGTAATTGAATGTAAAATAGTAAAAATCTTTAAATTTTGATGGATCTGAAAGTTCTCTTTCTAAAATTGGTAATCTTATTTTTAATTTCTCTATTGAATCAGACCTAATAACAATTAAAAACAAATATAATAAATAAATATTTTAGGTGTAAAATTAATATAAAATTTTTAATATTAAATATTTAGTACATAGTTTATTCTAAAACAAATCAATAAAATTGAGCTTGATGTTCTACAAAATTTTATTTTTTCATACAAAACAATTTTAATAAGAAAATATGGTTTAAATGTAAAACAATTGGTTACAGAAGTAGTTAAATTTATTTATTTTTCCCAATTATTAGTCTTGTTCATTGTCTAGCCAAGTTGAGTATAAATGTAGTTTTACTCCCAAACTATTTTTAGCAATTATTTTTTTTCAATTTGTATTTTATATGTATAATAAGATGCTACTTTCAATAAAAGTTGGCTAAACTTTCTTTAGAACTTATGGTAAAAAAACTTCAAAATACTCTAAAATTATTATATATATATATATATATTTTTTTTTTAACATGAGTTTTTTTATATTTGACATTACAGTAAAAACAAAAATTTCCCATCATACAACTTTTTTATGGTATGAACTATATTTATATTTTTTATGGTAAAACTATATATTACACCTGAGGTAGTTTTTCATAGCAAACCAAGAGTAGTTATCAATTTGGTATTGGATTCTCGCAACAAATCTTCTCACGAACAAGTGAAATTAGTGAGGAAGGTTATTTTGTTAATGTATTTACAATTGATGATAATCAAACCAAATAGTTCCCACGTTGCACAGCAAGTATATTTGTGGATTAGTTTATATTATAAATATATAGAATATATAATAACAAAACTTTCAAGTTGAATACACAAGTGTGTTACCTATATGTATACCTGATTTGGTAATATGTTATTTGACTTCTAAAGGATGTTGGATCGACTTTTTTTGAAAGTACCTTCTGATTATACATGCAAAAACAAACAATTTGAAAAAATAATTGCTAAAATTAGATTGAAAGGTAAACTGTATTTGTTCCCAAGACACCACTAGGGTCCTGTAAAGAACTTCTACAGTGCCTTAACACCACAGTGTAGTAATATAATCATTTTTAGATAGCACAGCACACAAATACTGAATTTGAATGATGTAAATATCAATACTTCTTATAATATTAAGCAAATGAATTACTAATTTATTTTGTAAATTACTATTTTTTTTAAGAGAGAATATAAAAAGTAAATTGAGCAAAACCAATATATTTTATTTTATTTATAATACAAGCAGTAGTAATTATTGTTATTATATTATAATGAATCAAGATATTTTAAATATAAGGAGACTTATATAAAAGTTATAAACAATTAAATATATCTCATAATTTATATAAACACTGTATTTACTAAAAGGTATGTATTGTTATAGTGAATCCATAACAAATTTTTATTTAATAATTTATGAAGCATGTCAACAAAAAAGGAAAAAATATAAGTAGGTGGTCAGTTTTAACTATTTATATAAGCAATTATATGGTTTAATCAATAAGTATAATGGTTGGGATTATAATTTTAAAGAATAGATTTGGAAATTATTAGAAATGAGAAATATATATGTATTTATTTATAATCACTGATAATAAAATATTTAACTAGCTTAGAGTTTTCTAGCATATAGAATAAAGCTAAATGTTATTTGGCCATGACTGAGAGTATTAACAATTTAACAATAAATCAATCCCAGTAATAAACCAAGAACCTATTCAGAGCTTCAATTTTCCTATGCTTAAGTTTATAATATAGAGCTGACTTTCTTTCATAATTTTTTAAGTTTACTTTGAAATCTAAAGTAAATACAAAATGTTATGTTCACAGAAATAATACATAAGATTTTAATAATATTAAAACTTATTAAGAGAAGTAGAGAAAATAAAATAATTAAGAAACATTATTTCAGTAAATTTAAAAAACTAAAAATGTATGTAATTAAAGTAAATAATAAAAACTATAATCAACTTAGAACTGAAATGTAGAAAATTTGTTTAAAATAAAAAAGAATAAAGAAATAATAACAAACTTATGAAATTACTAACGCTGTTTTGTTTTTTCAAAATCTTACTTTTACTAGGCAGCTGAAGTAATATTAAAAATAATTTAAGAATATAATATTTTTCTTAAAATTATATTTACAAAACAGAATGTATAAATATATATATATAAATTTACCCCATTCTAGACATTCCATTGAAAAACTCTTGTTTTGTGAATTCACATTGAGCTGCTGCTTGACACTTCCAAGCAATAATGAGCACTAATATAGAGTCAGGAGGTAATTTGAGTTCATCTAATAAACGCATAACACCTTCAACATTAATTTTATTTGGTTCTGCTGGATCTGAAATATTTTAATCTCTTGTTAATCAAATTTAAATTAAATAGTAAAATATAAATTACTAAAAATCATTAATAAAAAAAACACCATCTAAAATATTAGCAACATAGGTAAATTATACTCACCAAAATTGCTTAAGAATTATTTATTAACATGATAAAGGAAGAATATTCCAATTAATGTCACAAGTGTTTTGTTAGAATGAAATTGTCAATCAATTGTTTTTTTTGTGCAAATTATCATATATTATAATAAAATTGTTCAATACATTTAAAAAAAATTAATAAATAAAGAATTTTAGAATAATTGAATAAAAAATAGATTTAATATTTACAAAAAAAGAGAAATAAGTAAATTACTATCAACACATTTTTTAAAATTACTTGCCTTGTAAATTTGTTAACATTAGGAAACTACGCAAAATATGGTACACAATGAATGCTTTAAATTGAATCAAATAAATTTATATGAATATATATAGTTGATATAATTAATAAACTTATATTAATTCTAACTATTTATTGTATCAATAAATAATATAAATACTTTTAATTATTAAAAAGTATGAAGTTTTACCTCGATATCTAGTATACATAGTTTCTAACTTTCGTTTATCTACTGAATAACCTAATTGTGTGTTGATCTTAACTGTATCATATTCAAGTGGATTTTGAAAAAAGTTATCTGATGCTTGTTCCAATTTCCAGTCATTTTTTGCTAAACAAAAAATGGCAACGTTTTCAGATGCTTGTGTAAACGTCATAAATTTTTTCACTTTATCTTTTTGAGATGATTTTAATTTGTTCTGAAAATTAAATAAATCAAACTTTAGTTGATTAACTGACCATATAATGTATAGAATTAAATAAAGATGAACAATCAAAAGTACTCAGAATTAAATCAGTTTATGAATGATTATAAAAACAATGCATTAGATATGGCCTCATATAAATTACTTAATCTATTTTTAGTTACTAAGGTCGCTTACCATTTCGAAATAATTTTATACTACGAATTTAAATTATATTTTACAAAATAAAATTATTGAAAAATTGAAAGGGTCCAAAATTTTAAATTCAAGCCTAGGCATTTTCATTATAAACAACATTCAAACTTAAAATAATATTATACAAGCATTGAAATTCGAAATCTTAAGGAAATCTGTCTAATTGGAGAATCAAAACATAATAATAAATAACAAAAGAAAATGAAAAATAAGTTTTATGAACAATTTTTAACAGTTCTAGTGATAATCCATGTAATTAAAATAATTCACTACAGTGCTGACAAAGATATCACAAATTATATTCTGATATTCACGTCGGAAATATTGTTAACCTGTTACAATGTCACATTTTATACTATTTAAAAATGTACTACTGTGTTAAATTTTCACTGTTTAAGAATAATCTTTAAGCATTTAATAAATTTAGATTGGTTTTCTTCTAGGACTTTTTAATTATAGATTATTTTGAGCATTTGAAATATTGGAATTCATCCAATAATTTTCATGAATTATTAATAAACTAAATTTGATCTTTTTTTCAAAATTTACATTTGATGAAAAATATTACCAATATTATAGCACAAACATGGTCGTAGCAAAGGGGGGAGGGGCTAGAGATGCCTACGCTCCGGGCGCAATTCTTGGGAGGGTGCGAAAATGAAAAATTTGCAATTGTTACTTATAAGTAGGGAACGAACTTATATGTTGATGCATATTTTTATTAAAACGAGATATTTAAGATTCGATAAGAAATGTTCATGATTTAAATTATTCCTATTAATATGATCAAACCCGGACTCAGTGGCGTAACTGGGAAAAAAATTAGGGGAGCCAATATAATATATTTATTATTACCAAAACCCTGACACCCCCCCCCCCTCATCAGTTAAAACATAATTTTATTGTAGGTATGTATTTTATACATTATATCTAACTGTTTTATTTTACATAAGTCTTTTAACTCATTTTATGGTTTAGATAAACATAAATTGTAGGTAGCAAGTACTGGGTACCTACCAATATTGTTAAATAATACTCATAAGAGTTCATTAATAAAAGGTGCTATTTGTATTGTTGGATTATCTGGGAAGGCAATATTATACCTATATCTCTCAAAATATTGTTAGAGGGGGAACTTTCCCCCCCCCCCCCTTGTCCCCCACAATTACGCCACTGGCCGGACATTTAGAAGGCCAGGAGCCAAAATTTTGACGAAAAAAATATATAATGTATGTGTAATATAATATATAATGTATATCATGTTTATGTACTTTTTATAATATATATTTATATATATAGGTACATAGCAATTAATAATGTATCATTTTATTTTATAAATTATAGTTTACAACAAATTTTTTGTCCTTGCTTCTGTTTGACAAAATTCTTTAATAACTTTTTCATTACCTATTAATTGTTAGCAGAATGTCGTTTTCAGTTGCCAATATCATAAGTGCAGTCAACTTGTCTTGGTGTAATGTTGATCTGTATTTATTCTTGACTCTATTAAGTTTTGAAAAGCTCTTTTGGTTTAACAGTTTATACTTGGTATGGTTAAATACATTTTTTAAGTGCATTATATAAATTGGGAAAAACATCAATTAATTAATTTTCATTAAACCATTTCCAAAAATAAAGTATACTAAAATGTTCATAATCTTTAATTGATGGTATGCATAAGAAAAAATACTCTTGAAATTGTTTTATTTCATTTTTTATGTAAACATCGACATCATCCATGTAGGTTATAAAGTTATCAATATATTTATATATTTTATATATAATATAATTAATTTATTTATTTATATTATAATTATATAGTTTAATATATTTTAATAAATAGTGTCAACAAATGGAACACACAACTTTGTAACAAATAAAAAATTGTCTGAAATAAACTTGTAAACTTCAATTCGTTTGTCTAATTCAGTATAAAATGTATCAATGATTATGTTATGAGTTTCAATTCGAAACTTATTATTACCTTACAACTCAGTATTATTTAAACCACAAAAATCTAAGTTTATTTTTTTGTTCTTCTTCCTTCATCATGGTAAAGACTATTAATTTCTGGACCAAGTTCAATAACTTTATTTTCATAAATTTCACTACTGTTTCTTATTTTTAAAATGTTATTTTTTAACGATTTTAGTAAATTCAAAGCATTCAACGGGTCTCAATAACTGTCTTGCAGATGTATGGATGTCTCATTAGACCTATTCTATATATCATTCCACAAAAAAGATAGATATGCAGTTTCTTTTTTTTTTAATTTGTTTTAAAAGCAATTTAGTATTCCTTTTTGAGTTTCCAATTTCATTATCATTTTCATTGATATATTTTAAAGATTTTATTATTTTTATGTAATTATGAGTAAGTGCTTAACAAGAATCTGAGTAACAGGACCATCTAGTTTGACTAAGGGATTCCAGTACAAGTAATCGGCCTTTCACATTTTTATCTAAAATATTAGTCAGAATGTCCCATCTATGAGTAGATCCACGGCAAGCGATTACTGACATATGTAGCAATTGCAGGTAGGTATTATACACATTATACATTTTAGTAGTATGTGTGTATTACTATAAATTATTATAAGAGGTTTGTTTGACATAATTGACAGTTAATAATGTCGTCGGCAATAATAATTTATCGTCCATTTATTTTTAAGTAAATTATGTAATATTATACCTTATAATTAATAAATCAATAGACAAATCTGAGGCCCCTAAATAAATTTCAACTATCCAGGCCCCCTGGATCTCCCTTAATTCGGGCTTGAATATGATGATACTTTTACATATTTTTACATATTTTGGTATAATTACATACTTTAACATATTTCACTAATTTGTAAATATTTTTAAACATATTTTATCATTTCATTGTTCATACGTCTTCTTCGTACGAAAATACAAGAAATTATTAATTATTATTATTAATTTAGATCCAGAAACTTCTATCGCTATTGGAAAAGCTCAAAATATTATGCAAAATGAAACATTGAAAAATAATTTAATTTTTATCTCAGTGAATTTTAGTTTTATTGCACATACAATTACAAAATTAGAAACAAAAAATATGTCCTGAAATGATAGTATGCATATTGTCGAATCAACGATTGAAAAATTAAAACTCGTTAGCGGACCAATAGATGTTGTAAAAAAGAATATTCATGCTGTTACAGAAACAAAAATCCAAGCTATATTGATTTTAAAACAATCAATGACATAATGAGTGGCAGACACCCTTCTAAAAATTTGGAATTATCGCTTTCTGATATTATGCGCTTCAAATATGTTTCAATTACATCGGTTGATGTCAATGGCGTAATTGGGGGGTCGCAAGGGGTTGCACTTGTAACCTCAAATATAATGTGTAGGTTGCAAAAGTATTATTTTGCAACCCCTGAAAATTCCATATTTATAGTTTATCGCTAGATAGTAAAAAAAAAAAAAGTATTTATTTAGTTAAATAATTATGAAATAAAAAAAGTCGGAGAATGAGAAAATTGAGATGATAATAACATCAATAATAATACGACGATATAGAAGTTTTAATCTAAAAATAAATTATATAATATCGGTTTTAATTATATTATAATTTTAAAAGTTTATGTGATTTAAAATTTAAATAAAAGTAATGTTTTTGGCTATATATTAACTATAAAAAAATTAAATTTATAGTTTTTAATAAATTGTAATTATATATAAAAAGAATTACAGTGTACTCTCGATTATCCGTGAAATAGGGTGGCAGGACATACATGGATAAACCACAGAATTAAATTTTATAATAAAAAATAAATTGGAATTTGAAATTGAAAATTATTATTACATATTATTAAAAAAGATACACATGTATGTGTAGGTAATCAAAAATTAATATAAATTATAAACTATTTATGAGCAAAAAAAATCATTCACAAGTTGTAGCTTCTTCGTTTAAAAACTCTTCTTTTTAATTTGTGATTGAAGTTTTTTTAATAACATTTTGTCACACAGAGTTGTATCGTCTTGTTGTTTTAGATATAAAAATACAATATATATATTTTTGTATACGTATAAGTATGTAGACAATTCTGCGGAAGACCGCAGATAATCTGCAACGCGGATAATCGAGAGTACATTGTATACAGATTTATCATGTACTTTATATTAATAGAATATAATAATATGATTATATTATAACATTTTTTTTATAATTTTGGGGGTGTGGGGTCAAAGCCTCCACTGGTTTGTGCATCCTGATTAACTTTTGCAACCCCTGATATTCTTCCGAATTACGCCAGTGGTGATGTGGAACGACCATTTAGCCATTTTAAAAATATTTTGAGATCTAATAGGCGAAATTTAATATTTGATAATTTAAAAAATATTGTAATAATTCAATGCAACAAATCATTTTGATAATTTAATAATTATAACTTTTTTTTTTTTAATTAAATATTTTCCACATATTTGATGTTTTTAGTAAATATTTTATAAATTATACTTACATATATGTGTATATATTTCTGTATTCTTATTACATATAAATCCGTTCCCTACTTATAAGTTATAACTACAATAAAGTAATATAATGTATTTATGTATTTATGTATTTACATATATAACTTTTTTTTTTTATAAAAATATTTTGTTTTATTTGGTACTAAATATACAACTATACAAAATTTAGCATAAGTAATAATAATATAAGTGGTTTACATATCATGAAAAAGGCATGATGTAGGAGGCCTCCCAATGAAGCTACCTACTTAAAGTGGTTATAGCCCGTCATAAATACATGAATAAAAGACAAATATGTCTGACAAAATTGTGGGACTTTTGTTGGGTTGAATTTAATTCTATTAACTATTTCCTTTTTGATTTTTATTAATCGAATTTTCAAGTATATTATAAATGTATAGATTAAGTAAATAAACCGATTACGCTGATGCAATGCTGTACAACTATAGCGATAATATATAGATTGTATAATATATTACGATAATTTCGTTTTAGTTATTTGGTTCTAATTTTTGTTATCTGCTGATTTTGTTGGTTTTTTTTTTGTCGATTTCTACTAAATCTACTAATAGTCGATTATCAACGAACGAGTGTAGAATTCGTTTATACAGTCTACATTCGTCTCGTGTGCTCGTACAAAATTATTATTAAATAATACATTTCCTTTTTTCTTTGTTGCATATTTTTTTGTTTTTATTGCATATTTATAGAGTTTATTTAGCGATTTTTAAGGTAATATTATAGCGGATATTTATTTAATTTTAAGTGCTATAAAATCCCAACCCTGGTGATTTCTGATAAATATACGGTCAGCGGCTTGATGCAGGGGACAGTAGTGTAATCCGTTATTTTGGGAATGCAGTCGGGTCGCATCCGTATAAGCCGACACACACACCAACATTCATTTACTTCCCACACACTTTCAACTCAAATACTATCGGAATTGATGGGTAGCCTATAAAAAACTCCTTAGGAAATGACCGACTGGAACCACCACTAAAATATAGGACAGTAGGGCACAGGCCACAGTAGGTAGGTAGATACTAGCATTGATTAAAGATATATATTTAATGTTTATTTAATCAATGGTACTAGGTACTATAGCTTAATAGTTATGTTGTTGGATACAAGATTAATATATAATTAATGTTGATAGGTAAATTAGAAAATTCAAGATACCTATGACGTTTTGTGGCGTAATAATGTAAATATCATATGAAATTTCCATTAGGTACCTATCAAAATTGATCCTTGTTTGTGTCTCAGATCTCAATAATAAAACCGATTGATTTTATAAATATCATTAATGATTTGGTTTAAAACTATTTATCACGGTATTTGATATTCAAAAACCTTGAAATCCTAACTTTTTCAATATTGGTATCGTCTTGAAATCTTCAGGTTCAATAATGTGACGTATCCGGGTTAAAGGTCCACACTCGAAAAAGTAACGCCACGTTTTTGAAATCGGTAAATCGACAAAACAAATAATGTATTACATTGTAACAACTTCTCTGGAAATTTATTACAGGTTTTCAATATACATACCATGTTTAGATAATTTTTTTAAACAATTTAATGAAAGATTGATGAATCATAAATTGTTACTAACAGTGCCGTAACTGAACTACTCGAGGTCAATGTGCAAATCAAAATCTTGAGGCTTTTTATCGTTGTACATTTTTTAGCATTTGACCTTTTGAGGGCCCGTAATGTTGTACGAGGCCATAAGCGCAACTAGAGTCCAAATATTAGGGGTGCTGAAATTGCTGAAAATAATATTAAATGATATTTAACTGTAATTACTATAGATTATATACATCTGAAAAAAAACAGGAGTGCTACATTTGAACTCAGGGGTGCTAAAAACCCTATTGTGCCCCCTTAGTTGCGCCTATGTACAAGATTTAATAAATTGAAAAGAATTTAACTATATTAAATTTAAAGATCTTTTATAAACAATCAGATATTGATGTAGACGAAATAACTCCAATAAGTAAATACATAATATAGCATCAACAAATAAAAAAGGAAATACCCAACACAATAGAAGCACTAAATAATTGCAGTGAAGATATATTCCCAACTATTTACATAATTACAACCATTACTTTTGATTGTATTAGGTACTTTGCCGGTCACATCTGCATCCAGTGAAAGGTCCTTTTCAACACTTCGACGTTTGAAATCATATTTACGAACGAGATATTACTGGTAAAAATCGTCTAAAAGATTTGGTAGTTATGAATATACATCGTGATATATTAGTGTAAATAGAAAATGTAATACGTGAACAAGTATTACAAGTCATCGATTAAGATGAATGTAATAATTAGGGCTCGTGAGTTCATGCATTTGCATATCAATCTTGCTAAGTCGTATTTAATGCTAGGTAACATAGAAATCAATTTCAAGGTACTTTGGTTAAGTATGTGAAATTTTATGTTGCATATTTTTGCATATTTAAAGGTTTTTTAACTATTTGGCATATTCATGCGTTTTTTATTTTATTGTGCATATTTTTACCGAAATTTGATCAAAATGCAATAATTTATATTTTTACACAGTATAAAATATATGGGAGTTTTCGCAACATCAAATTATTAAAAATAAAATATATAGAGCAGATAAAGTGAGTACAAACGTACGTATACGAACGTATAAGTACGTAGCCCGCATTAAGCAATTAGTGGAAAACATGTTATGTTACAGTGGAACCTCGATAAGTCGAACCTCAATAAGTAGAAAACCTTGATAAGTCGAAAAAAATTCTGTTCCCTTGTGTAAAATTTGATTACTCGAAAAAAAAAACTATAGATAACTCGAACATATTGTGCTCCAAATATAGACGGAATATAAATAAACTTTTAATAATATGAATAGACATTTTTTTGTTATTCCAAAATTTACTTATAGTATTTTTATTTTTTAATCTACATATTTTTAATACATATATTTTTAGTACATATAAATGCATAGTTCTGATCTTTTAAAGGCATATTTCAATGTATATTTTCCCAGCTTGTAATGCATAAGTGCATACTTATTTAGGCATTTTTTAGAGCATGAACGAGCCCTGTTACTATTTATTAATATAATTAATAATATTAATTATTACTAATAATTAAATATTATAAATCAATTTTTAAAATATAAATATTTTTATAACGTCCGTGAAGTTGGCCCCCCACTTTGTTCTATCGAATTCAAACCTTCACCAATATTTTGGAACTAATTTGTAACTATTTGGAACCAAGTTTTTATAATAATTTAACCCTTTTCCCGGAATAAGATATTTTCGGTTGGGGACAAGCTTCATCTTAATCTATTATCTACTTGTCGTAAAAATATTAGAGATAAATCAGTCTTATAGTCTTAATATACATTAAATACCCAATAAATACAGAGCTTAAGCACCCTCAGTTTTTTTATTGAAATTGTGCCTATGACACCTTTTCCAAATACGCAAAATAATCCCAACTGCGCTTTAGAATAAGCCCTGCTTCCTATTAATTACGCTACTGCTAATATCAATGATCTGACACCTGAAATTATTATACATATCTGTGGGTTTAATATTTTATATTTTTATATTTTTTTTTTTTTCCTATAAAAGGATTTTTGTAATTGTACGTTAGCTACGTCGTCTAGGTAAAAAAAACTTTTTAATTATTATTATTATACGGGAAATTTATTTTTTTAAGGTTGGCATAACCGATCTCTCGAAATTTGATTTTAGTGATATCTCGTTGTTATCAAAATCGGGAGAAAGGTACCTTTGGTAGTAACTGTTATAAATCACTGTTACTGTTATTTTCTCCCATCACTATTGGTATCGAATTTTGAATTCCATGCAACAATTTAAGTATGAAGCAGAGTAGTAATCCTCAGCTGGAAAAAACCAGAAAATTAGTTCGCACCCATCTTGATTTGGTAGATTTTTATTAATAATTCAATTTTAATAAGTGCTCAGTTTATTAATAACATGTTACATGGTTTTAGCAATTATATTCAGCTGCTTTGTTTTGGGCTGATAAAGCAGCCACATTAAGTCATTTTGAACCAAGAGATGTTTACCAACTAGCTAGTTGTATGTTCTTGTTAAAACAATATCAAAGAGCTGTTGTGCTGATTAGAAATAAAGGATTGGATAAAGTAAGAGTATATAAGTTATATAGATTTATATTATATGTTCACAATTAATTTCAACATTTAATTACAGACCACAAGGTGGCATACTGTAATATCCTGATGAAAATATCCATAGATATTAATTTATTATTATATCTATAAATATATATTTAATGTTGAATATAAAAGAGTCATATTAAATACATATTGTTAAAAATAAGATTTTCATTCTTTGATGATAGAGAAAAATCACTTGACATTTTAATTTCTATAAAACTTTAAAGTATCACATTTTAATCACAATTGTAAATCAATAATTTTATAATAAAATCAATGGTGATAGTAAAGTTAATACTACCATATATATACCTCAGAATAAGATATTGTCATACTATTACATTAATATGTCTTTCCACCGTAAAATAGGTTATTTAATTTTCAATCACTATACCATGAAATATTTATAACAATTTTTTCCAAGGATCACCTATTGTGTAATTTTATAGAAATTATGTTTTCAAAAATTATATATTTGTTTGGTAGTGTTGAAAAAAAAAATTTTTTTTTATAAGCTTTTAATGGGAACTCATTTTAGTAAACTATACTCAAACAAAAAAATTAATATAGTTGAAGACATTCCAAAAAAAAAAAATCTTTACAAATTTGAATACTTAAATAAATAGGTATATATTTATTGTTTATTGAATACAATCATTTAATAAATGAAAAAAATTATAAATAAATTTCAGTAAGTATAATTTTTATAAATATTCATAAGTTACAACTCATAAAAATTGAATTTAACTAAACAGTTCAAACTTAATTATTTAAGCAGTATTTATGAGACCAAATAATTAGCTTTATATAAAGGAACCCAATTAGCTCTAAAAATCAATAATACAAAAATAGATATATGTTCTGACTAATTCAGTGCCTTGACTAATCTGCAATCCAAAATACTAACTGAGTCATTGTCTCTAAAAATTAGTAACCTTATTTCCTCATCAAACAAAGACATTAGATTAATTTGAACCCCAGATCATTGCAACATAAAAGGAATAAGGAAGCAGATAAATCAGCAAGAAATTCATTAAATAGTCCTGCCAGTGAAATAATTACTTTTTCATCACTTGTTAACATAAAAATAAATATTTACAAATAATGCATTGATTTGTGGAACATAAAGTGGTACACGACCACAAAAAATAAGTTAAGAGAAATTAAGCACTCTATTGAACTCTAGCTGAAATACACTGGTGTAAACAGAAAAAATTAGATAATTCTTAAGACTTAGAATTAGCCACACAAAAATCACTCATGAACACCTTATGGCAAAAACAAATCCACCCCTATGCCCAAACTTCAATGAAGCTAGAAAAGACTTCAATATCCCAGACAACATGTATGAAGCAATTGGTCCATTTTCTAATTATCAAAACATAATTTCATATTTAAAAAAAAAATTGATTGTACAATAACATATAATAATGTAAAAATGTAATAATTTTGTTAAAGCTAATAACATATGTAGTTGATGCTTAATAAAAATAAAATATAATTTTTATTATAATAATATACAAACTTCTGATACTCAACTATTATTTTTCATTATTTTAGACCGATATGCTATGTTATTATATGGTATTAAGATGTTTAGTTGAAGCAAAAGACTTTACTGAAGCAGGAAATATTATTAATTCTGAAATAAATCCAACATCATGTAATGTGTCACTTCAACAACAGGATGTGAAGTCCCATGACTCTTTGACTTATTTTAATGTAAGTCTTAGTTTACAGTTTTATTTTTAATTTATTAATCTGAAAATATGAATAAATATTATTTATCTAGGTCCAAAGTGCACTATTTTGTATCAAAGGAAAAATATATGAAGCATTAGATAACAGAAATTTTGCAACAGATTGTTACAGAGAGGCTTTAAGAAATGATGTACACTGTTATGATGCATTTCAAGCCCTTATACAACACCAAATGTTAACTTCATTTGAAGGTTGGTTTAAATTTAAATGTACATTTATATATTTATATAGTAATCTGTGTTAAATACCATAAAAGTTTTAAATTTTTTCTTCTCATATTGCATTTTGGGATATAGGCATAGTAAGGAACTAAAGACTTCCATAAAGATTTCTGCTTCAGCCTAAAGTATTTTTCGATCTTCTAAAAATTGTTTTATCTTTAAAACATTATAAAATTTAAAAATAATATAACAATTATTTTATACACATCTATATAGATTTACTAGCTGAATTACCCGTCTTGCCGGGTTTAAGTATATAAATGTATGTAACCTGCCAAGATTAAATTTTGTTAAATCTATTGAAATTTAAATTAATTAAGATTTTTGAAATAATATTTTATACATATTAATTTAGTTTTTAAGATAATGATTATTATCATAACCTATTTGATAAGTTATAGCTTTTGGCGGCAGAAGCTTTGTTCACGATAAATTTTAGCACTAAAGGTTCAAAATAAATGTTTTACTAATAGTTTTTCAATATGTTATCTACAAAACTTCTTTGTAGACAATTTTCTTCACTGATCTATTAGTAGGCGACAATATCACCAAGCTACTGGGTGAGCTTACGCGTGAGCAAGCTATGTAGAACTGCCCATGTGAAAAACAGTTTTCTCGCAAATCTATTCCTGCAAATTTAAGAGTTTGGTCTTGAGACTTGTTTATAGTCATTGCAAAACAGACTTTCAGGGGAAACTGTAATCGTTTAAATTCGAACGGATGATCATTCGGAATTAAAGGGATTCGTGGTACAAACACAGTTTCCCCTTTTGCACATCCTGTTAAAATTGTGGCTTCTACTATATTGCGATGTAAAGCTTTGACTTTAAGCCTGGTCCCATTGCACAGTTTAGGAGGTTTCAAATTTCGCAACAACATAATAGATGTGCCCACACGCAGAATAAGCCTATGATATGACATGCCCGGTGGTTTCAATGAATTTAAAAATTCAACCGGATAATTAGTTGCATCGTCCATGTTGACCACCGTATCTATAGAAGTATATACTTTTTCTTCCCTTTCATAAGACATCAGCAGTGTATCATTGATAGCCGCCGCTTGGTCATTTTTTGGAGTGAGTATAGCACGTTCACACAACCATTCCATAGGCTTATCATGAATATGAGGAATATCTGGATAAATTTTTGATATCAAATCCTGAACCGTAGTTAAAACTGTACACAAATTTTCTGGGATAGTTATCATTTCATCAAACGATGGATAATCGCCATTGCCAATTTTAAGTAAAAGATCTGAAAATCCACCAGCAAACTTCCTCTCACAAGTGTACCCTCATATTTTTTGACAGTTTGAGTATATTAATCTTAGGCCATAAAGTAGATCTTTTAAGACATGACTTGACTTCATCAGTTCTGGTCCCCTTTTGGTACTACTGGTAGAGTCTGCCTAAAGTCTCCAGCCAGTAAAACCGTTACACCACCCATTAACCTTTTATTTTCCCTTATATCCTTTAGAGATCTATTTAAAGCCTCAACACCACCCTTATGCGCCATTGTAATTTCGTCCCACACTAATTTTGTATCTTTTAAAACTTCCGCAAAATTACTTTGTTTTGATATATTACAAAAGGGAGTGGCCGAAGTTGTTAGATTGAGTGGTAATTTGAAGGTAACATGGGCCGTTCGACCACCCTCGAGCAGTGTTGCTGCGATTCCAGAAGATGCTACAGCTAAAGCAATGTCGCGAGTACTTCTAACTTTCGCTAAAATCAAATTGATTAAGAAAGTTTTTCCAGTTCCACCTGGAGCATCTAAAAAGTATATTCGACCCTCATTATTATTAACACTTGGTGGTCCATTCATTCACCACATGTCCAACAATTAGTGATCGCACCTCCATCGCATTGTCTTGTGTTCCGTGTATTAAAAAAGAGAGCTCGGAATAAACAGGCACCATCGCCAACAATGGGGACAACAGTATGTTGTTCAAGTTCTCCATTAACTAAAAGACTTTCTTTAGCCATTTCTTAGGTAATTAAATTAAACAACGTTAAATTAATCCTCCTAACAACAAAAACCGAACACGGAAAAATCTAAAAAACTAATCCGGCAGTAAGCTGTTTTATATTACACTTGTATACCGAAACCGTTTACTGGTCCTTTATCGAACGCTGGGCTATCGCTACAACAACGACAACGACAAAGCGGCCAAGTACATATAATTTACAGCACGTGGGCATACATTTTATATAAGCAAACGTTTTCGTCACACGCAGCTATAAATATAATATGTTGGATAATCATAATAAACGACAACGGTGCTACCGCGGCTCTATCCGCCGACAACGCGTTAACGCCGACTTAGGACCATAGGCGTGCGCAGGGGGTATGCAGGGTATGCAACTGCATACCCTAAACATAAAGCCTTCTTTCTAAAATTACAAAAAATAAATAAAAATTATGACATATTTGGTCTTATGTATATTATGTGATTTTGTATTACATTATGATTTTTATTATATTTTCATATTTAGTCCCAGATAGTTTAATTTATATTTGAAACGCAAATCATATGCTATTATAACGATTATAATTAAAATCCCGAAAATATTATTGGTGATATTAAGAACTCAACTGTACGCAGAATCGTTTTATGATTAATTTTGATTATTTATCAAATTTATTTTGTTTTTCATTTTAGCATATAATTACGTTTTTATTTATTTACCTTATTTAAATGTATTACTCAAACCATTTCAAGTGTTATGTATTTAATTTTATTTTTTCTTATTTTATTTTAAATTTTAATTATGAAGACAGTTATAACGTTTAAGAAATGGTCACTTTTTTCAGGAAAAATAATTAAAATTTTAAATTAAATAGTTATTAAGCCCAATATTTCGAACGCTTAAATTAACTTTCAGTTTTAGGGGGGGGGGAGTAGGCAGTGGCAGCCTTTTGCATACCCTGGAAAAGAGGTCTGCGCACGCCTATGCTTAGGACCTTTAGGTTAGGTTAGTTATTAGTTTAATAATACAAATTACATGTAAAAATTTTCTTTTACCGATTTCAACCCTTTAAATTCAAAATTTCGAAAAATCCTTTCTTAGCGCACATCTACATCATAATAGCTATTTGTATGCCAAATTTCAGCCAGATCCGTCCAATGGTTTGAGCTGTGCGTTGATAGCAGTCAACAGCTTACTGTTTTATATATACAGATTAAAGATTAATAGCATCAACAAAATTAATGACTTTATTTTGAAGATATTACAGATATTACACATTAAACAAACACTGCTCACTGAGGCAATTTATTTATTACTACTAGAATAGTCACTTATGGAACTATTGTGTACGGTATGTACATATTGCCTTATTAGACTATGATATAAAATATGTGAACTTATGTATAATGGACTCTGTTGCCCTACATTGTCAAATTAGTCAACATTTACAATATTAAGGTACTTTATAAACTAAGATTATATCAAAATATTGTACTTAAATTTTTTTCTGAAAATTAACCAGAAGTAAAAGCACACAGATATTTTATGTTTTTACATCACTTAACAGAATGGCATTAAAGTTCCATCAGTTACCAAAGAAATTATGTATTTGTTTTCTTTTCCCTAATCTTCTTCATAGTGTAAAAACAGTTTATAACATTTACTATAAATTTAAATTATTTTTCAATTTAAAAATGAATTTTTTATATATTTTAAATATTTAAGTATTTTTATTAGGTCTATGATCTAATACAAGTTAATATACAGTACTATTTTATTAGAGATGTAAAATTTACGTAAATTCTGTAAATTTGGTAAATTTTGATAATTTTTGTATGTCCTCATAGGAACACCCTTAGGAACTCCTCACTTCCACTTTTCCGTGAACTTATAATTATTGTAATGCTTATTTTTATTATTTACTGGATAGTGTGGTGTTCATGGTATTATAATTTAATATATGATTTTATATAAGTCCCTAGTAGTGTTATTACTTATTATTGACTTCTTTTCATGTATATTCAATTACTTTATATTATGAATAAAAATATTATAAATGTAGCTACCAATAAAATAAATTAAAGTAAATTAATCAAATCAGATTCATTAGGTAACTATAACATCAACAACAAAAAAACAATTTAAATTCTAGTCTTTTAGTTTTATATTTAATTTGTCTTTTCCTCGAGTTATAATTAGTTAAAATTATAATTTAATAATAAAAATAAAATAAATACATTTTACCAATTTTGTTATTGTGTGATAAATAGTGAAATACATTGAGTAACAAAATTATAAAAAGATCTTATTAATAATAAATAATTAATAAGTATAAAATCAAAATTAAAAATATTAATATAATTCTTCCCAGTCAGTAGATGGTCCAGGTGTAGATTGATAGTCGATTTCATTAGTGTCATGACATATTGTATTTACCTGTCTTTCTTTGCAAGGTTTATTTTTAGGAATACTTGATTTTTTAAAATTATTCCATTATATTAATATATTAAGAATATTCATCTCGTTAAGACGTATCATTTAAGGTGTCACATGCTAATATTTTCGGTAAAATAATATTTACCTGTAAAAAAATAATTGGTAAATTTACTGGTAATTTACTTTACCGGTAAATTTACCGAGCTTACATCTCTATATTTTATATAACGACTATAATAGTCAAGTTTTATCTAGTTCTATATAAATATCATATTATTAAGAAAACATTTGTTAGGTAAGTCTTCATAAACTCTCACAGGTACATACTGAGTGGGGCCAATTATTCTGTTGTAATAAGTAAATAAAAAATAAAATATAAAAATGGATAATATAATTCACAATTTAAATTCAGAAATGTATTATTTTGAAAGAATAAAGTGAAGGGATAAGAATTAAACTACAATTAATTTGTATCTTTTTTTCTTCCCTCCTTTACCTGTTTATAAAAAATAATGAACTTTATGTGTTTTTTTCTATTTGTAATTTTTTTTTTTTAGAACAAATGTTAATTCAGTCATTACCATGGAGCAATTATCCAAATGATTGTATTACAAAACCATTGTATGAAGTGCTACTAAAAAAATATCAAGAACCAAAATTAACAGGCCCATTTTCACAATTTGATATTCCTGTTGAATTAATGATGGACAATCTAGATATTCAAGAGGCTGAAGCTGAACGTCATTACTATGCTTGTGCATATAAAGATTGTTTTCAAATTACTCAAAGTGTTTTGAAGCAAGATCCATATCATCCTGAATGTTTACCAATACATATTGCTTGTTTGGTTGAGTTGGAAAAATCAAATGGTCTGTTATAATAGTTGTATTTAAATTATTTCAATAAATCAATTTAAAAATCATTATTTTATTTTATTTATAGAACTGTTTTATTTGGCACATAAATTGGTAGATCTTCAACCCGATCAAGCAATTGCGTGGTTTGCTGTTGGTTGCTATTATTATCTTATTGGTATACTATATATTTCACATATGGTTTTGGTTATCATTGAATGACTGATATTAAAATGTATTAAATTATAGGAAAACGAGACCAAAGTAGAAGATATTTAGGAAAAGCTACAAATCTTGATAACACTTTTGGTCCAGCTTGGTTAGCTTATGGTCATTCATTTGCAGTTGAAAATGAGCATGATCAAGCAATGGCAGCATATTTCAAAGCATCACAACTTTTAAAAGGGTTAGTATTTATTCTAGATAGTTTTAATTACTCATTTAATAACCAAACTATTAATCACAAGTTTATTTTTCTTATGGTTTTATATGTTTAGATGTCATTTGCCTCTTTTATATATTGGCTTAGAATGTTCATTGACAAATAATATTATGATGGCTCAAAAATATTTAAAAGAAGCTTTAGAAATGGCTCCCAATGATCCATTTGTCTTACACGAGTTAGGAGTTATTGCATTTCAGAGTCATAGGTAAAGTCACTTTTTATATCAAATTACTATTTTATTATTTAAGACTGAAGTTGCAGCAATATTTATTTTTGAACTACACAGGTAAAATATTTGAATAATTTGTTGTTAAACCAAGTATTTGATAGTGATACTTTATTAAATTCATTAAACAATTATCTATGAAATAATATTGGTCAATACATTGGTAAAGATCCAATTAATATCAAATATCTTAAAATGTATGGTTATTTTATTCCTGTAAATAATTATAAGTACTTCAATATGTGTGATAATATGTAACTTTTATTTAATATTAATATTAATTCTAAAGTAAACGTCATATAAATTCTCATTATGCTGCGATTCCATTTCATCCTTAATAAATTTTATTAATAAATATATATTAATAGAATTTAATATTATTATAGTAACTTTTTTACTTTGAAAAATTTTCTCTAAATTTTAAATCTGTCACATACACAATTGTATGATAATTTTCAATTTACATAAGTTAAATGACAAATTTAATGCTTGAAATATGCTACAATTTGTATTTCTGTTTTCTTTATAAGATCCTATTTTTATAACTATAGTAATACTTAGAAAGCTTTTACTCTTAGTGTCTAGTTGCAAGTTGGTGTAAAGATTGATTAGATCATTATTTACGCTATCTTACTTAATTACATATTTGTAACATTTCATAGTTAATATTTAAAATATATTTTAAGATATAAAGAAGCTGAATCAAGATTTCTTGAAGCACTTGAACGAATTAAACAAATAAAACAACCAATAATATCCAATAAATGGGAATCATTATATAACAATTTAGGACATGTATATCGGAAGTTACAACAATACGATAAAGCTTTAGAATATCATAAACAAGTAACATAATTTAAACAATAATTATTATAGTTCTCATTTTTTTAGATCTCAAAAGTGTTTTCTTTTAGGCTCTTGTGATATCTCCGATGAATACTTCTACTTTAACATGTATTGGGTTTGTTCAGTCACTTAGTAAAAATTATGCTGATGCTGTAGACACATTTCATAAAGCATTAGGTCAAAAACGAGAAGATACATTTAGTAGTACAATGTTAACCTGTGTTTTAGAGATGTGTATTGAAGAACCACCTTTATTTAATGATTATCTTGATGAGGAGAGTGCAGTTGTAGAAAGCGGCGAAGGAAAAAAATCGAAAAAACTAGATAGGACTTTAAAAATGAATGATGATAACGATGTAATACTACCATTCAGAAATTCCAAATTGAGACTTTGGAACAGAAGATTGAGAAAAAAAACTGAAGATTCTAGCACTACCATGGAAGATGACAGTACTGCAATGGTTATAGATTCTAGTTCAACAGCAGACAATTCTAGTTTTAATATGGACTTATCAACAAATATGTCTGAAAATTCTAACAGTTTTAAATAGATTTTTTTTATTATTTCTTCTATTTTTAAAAATGTAATAAAAAAAAACCACTATATAATATTTTATGTTTAAATCATAGTATATAGATAGATAAATAAATGCTATTTTTCTATGTATTTAAAAGTTTATTTGAACTATGTTTTTTATTCTTAGATAAATTTAAAATATTAAGTTTTATTTTTTAAACAATTTTTTTATTAACCAACTTCTGTTGGTCGCTTCACTGAATTAGTTATTATAAGCTTTTATTAAAATGATTCTGAACAGTTTTACTGATAAATGTTGCAATAGTTTCATAATACTAAGAGTCAAAAGTATTTTATATCATAACTCTTGAATTTAATATACTTTTAATTTTTAGCAAGTATTAGAAAGTGTTTTAGATATTACATATATAAAATGATTTTCCTTGAGATTCCTCTCCTACTAATTAAAAAATTACAAATAAAAAAGATTTCAACAAAAAAAAACACAATTTTTCTTTTCAAGCTTCTTCAATCTTTCTTGACTAAATTCATTAATTTTTATAATATGGAACAATATAATAAAGGTAAAAATATAATTCGCAATGAAGTTTTAATTTGAATATTATTTTCTAATTAAACTGAAGTTTTTAAGTGGAAGCTTTAGAAATAGGAATAATGAAAATGCAAAATATAATAGTAAAAAGTAACTATATTTCACAAAATATAATAGCATGCATAATTTTTGTAACTCAATACAAAATTCAAGAATAATATTGAAACAATTAAAAAAAAAAAAAAAATAGACACTGATGTTTATAAGAAATCCCAGTAATTTTAAATTGTTTGTACTTATCTTAAAAATAAAGAACTTTTATAAAGAAATTTAACAAAATTGTACTCTTAATACACAATAAATTTTCAGAAGATAACAAATAACAAAAAAATATAGAAGTTGTTGGCTTTAAATTCATAGTTCCACTTCAAACCTACAGGAATAATATAATGATGTTGATGTTAATAACATTAAATGTATAATAATAAAATTTTAACTTACGGATTATGAGTAGGCGAAAAACTGTTATTATTTGGAGATGTAAATCTTGGCGGTGAACTAATACTAGTTGGAGTATGCTTAGAATTGCGCATTAACGGACGATGAGTACTTAATGCAGGACTTGTATGTTTCCAATTCCAACATCCACGGCAATAGTAACGATAACATAATTGATCTCTACAGAAGTATGGTCCAAGTTGAATGTTACAAACACCACAAGCACTGTCTTCCAAGTATGGATCAACCTGAATCTAAAAGAATTGCGTAAATTAATATATAATGAAATTAATAGCAAAGAAAAAAAAATTACCTTTTTACAAAATTTAGGAGTTTTGACTTCTACAAAAGAAGCAGCGACAGCTTTAGTATAAGACTGATAAGTAGAAAATGTTATTCTACCAGATCCAATTGGATACTTATATTTATCTGTATCAATTCCTGTAAAAAATCATAAATATTAGCATAATGTTAAAGACAAAAAATTGATTAGCCATACCTGCATAAGAAACATTGCCAAACAAATCATCCATTATTTTAAATAAACCTTGAGCATTCATCATTCCATGCAAGGCACCTACAAATACAGTTCGAGTGGGATCCAATTTTTGAGATGGATGTTTAACATAATTACTGTCATTTATCAACCATGGAATTACTTGAACTTCTTTTCCTTTCATTTTGCGCGATGATATTTTAAAATAATAATTTCCACCACTTGTACAAGACTCCAACAATTGTTTGACCATTTGATCGGACTGCATAATTATATAGACATAACCTTTGGGCTGATTTAAATTAGTTGATGTTCCTGGCCATTCAACTTTGATAGATCCAAATTTACTAAATGCCATAATTAAACCATCTTCAGTTATATCCCATGGTACACCTCCCAAAAATACTTTGCATGAATAAGTCGGGGAATTATGTACAATTTTAGGCAGTTGTCCACTCCAAGTAAATATAGGATCTTTATGTAATCCACCTAAAATAAAAAAAATTAAACAATATGAAACATAATACAAATTTAGTAAATATCTTACTATTAACATTGCGGTTTAAATTTCGATTTTCCACCAGATTATTATTGTTGTCATTTTTCGGCTTTGTAGGAGACCAAAACGGAGGAGGGGATCTTTTTTCATAAACTGGTGACTGACTAGCAGCAGGTGAACCATATCGAGTGGGATATTGACTTTGATTAACCAATAACGAGCTTAATAAATTTTGGGTTTGATGATGTATATTTTCACCCACTGACAATCTCCCATTCGATATCCGTTGCATATTTGCTAGGTCTTGTTCAGTTAACGGAGAAGAACCATAAGGATTAATATTCACTTGATTCTAAAAATAAAAATTTTTAAGTAGTAATAATTTGTAGGTATTTCAAGAATAAGAAATAAAATACTTACTATTAAATCAGACATAGCTTCTGGGCTATTAGATACATCTGAATCGTCGGGAGTATTTGATCTGGACCCTCCCATCATCAAATGTGAAATTAAAGGATCACTACCATCACTGTATGTAGGAGATACACGATACTGTTGTTGTGGGCTCTGATAACCATAAGACGTAAATGACAAATCTAATTTAGGTCGTCGCAAATTTTTATTCCCAATGTCACTAGCACCATCTTTGGTTTGACTTAAGTTTCCAAAATCAGTCATATTAGTAATGTTTCGGTCCGCGAGGTATGGAAAATGGAGAGAATTTCGTCTTATATTACCTAATTGTTCCTAGAAAAATGTCAATGACATATTTATAAACAAATATGGTAAATCAAAAATTACAAAACAATGTATAGATCAGAAAATTTCGAGAAAAAATGAATGTACGTTGTTAACATAGCAATTATCAGATTAAAATTAATGTCAGAGAGAATAATGAACCATACATTTGCCATAGATAGAAAGTATTACAATTTCAAACACTCACTTGAACAGTATATTGTCTTAATGGTGTAGAAAAATTAGGAACAGATTGTCGACTCATCATTGAATTTCGCGGTTTATTTAAGGCATATAATTCTGAAATAGAACTAAAGTAATCTCCTACAAAATATATATATTTTTTTAGCAATATGTATTTATTATAATAAAATGTATTAAATATTATTTACCAGAATTTCTCGTCGGACTTAAAATCAGATCAGGTGAAGAAAAGAAGCTGTTGTAGTCTCTAGTGCTTCTATCTTGACCCACTGAAGGAGAAGTTATTTCCGGAATGTCTTGGTTTTGGAAAATTGAACCCTAATAATAATTATTTAATTTATAATACAAAACATTTAGTTATTAAATGAAAAAATAAAAATGAAATCGAACAGTATAATTATTGAAGAACAATTTTAAAATAATTAATAGTTAAAAATAAAAAATAATAATAATGTACTTACTCTTCTAAATGTAGACATAATTGTTGCTTTGAGAAGTTGAAATAATTAATAAAGAAAAATTAAAGGAGAAGCGAATAAAACTTATAAGACTGAAAATTAAAATCTAGAAAATATAAAATCGTTAATCACCAGTCGACTTGTGGCAGAGAACTAATCGTTGTTAGTTAACGGTGGAGGTCTATTCGAACTTAAAGTTACCGCACATATTGGATGCGCATTATCGTGGGTAGCCGTCTCTGATTGGTTGATCATATTATATTGCGACCAATAAAAATATATTAAAGAGTACAATACGCCCTTTACATATGAGCCCATGCAATACCTATTGTTCACTCCTGAAATTCCCAAGCAACAATTTTCCAATAAAAAATGTATATTTTTACCTTTAGAAATAAAAATCCCCGAAAATTTACTTACAAAACTTTCTTTTCTTTATCAGATTTGATTTATATTTTTGTACAATATTAATAAAATTATTAAAAACTCACCTGATGATTAATTTTACTACATTGACACTAGTTAATGTTTTAAATGTATGATAATATTTTCTGTAATAATATTTTATAGGTATAGTGCACTAAATGGTATCCCCGATAGCCATTGGGTATTATAAATACACATCTACTTATTATAATATATAGCGTTGTACAATCAAGATTTTTTACGGAAACTTAAAAAAATGTTCGATCATCGTTAAATATAGACGTATTCATACAGTATATTTCATATAATGGGTGTATGAAGGGGTGAGGGAGGACTATCGCCCCGGGTGGCAAATTTTTTTAGGATTAAGGGATGATAGCATTTTTGGTAACCATAATAACCATAATCGATCATCCATTTTCATTCTTCAATCAAAAAAATGTAATATTTTAAGATTTTGCATAGTGACCACGCTGCAATTTTTATTTTCATGATAATATTTTCAAAAGTTGACCACGTAAAATCCATAAATAATAAATATGATCTTCCTTGAAATGTGTGTATAAAATATGTGTAGAAGTAACAATATCATTTTTCCTGGGGCGTCAAAACTCTAAATACGTGTCTGCATACAGTACAAAAAAATATCAAATGATTATTGATGAATGAAAAAAGTATATTATCACAACAAAAAAAATTACCATTTTAATTATTACACTTAATTAAAATAATTAAACTTATCACTACAAAAAATAATTAGCTTCATCATTAATACTTAAACTAAACAATTTTAATTTTATTTAGTGATACTAAAATCAATAAAAAAAATTTCAAATAATTATGAACATTTGGTTGATATACTCCTTAAGCTTATTATTCAGATCTTAATATATTTGTTAATAATTAACTAGAAAATATGATAGTTATTATCCTGTGTATTATTACGTGTACCTAATAATATAATATACAATAACAAGATAATTGATTATTTAAACATTGTATAACAAATTCCACGACACCCTCACTTTCGTTTTATTATGGGGGCTTAATCTAATACAAGGAAAATTGTTCTTTTTGTTTTATATTGAAATGTTGATTATTTTCAATCTTACTACATTCGATTAAAATAGTTATGAATTTTTTAAGTCGTGAAAATCACAAAAACAAAAAAGCGGAGCCAACAGTTCCCTTTCAAATTTCGTGGTGTACTTAATTATTTTTAGTTATAGCAATTTTTATCTTATATATGTATCATATAACAGAGTAGATAGTCATTAGATTAATTGTTTACAACTCTATTCATGGGGATCAGTAAAAAGTCTTATCAAATTCGTGGTACTAACTCTGACTATATTTCGTATATTTCTAGATTTTCTTATACTAAGAAATCTATCATGTAAAACGGTGTCGTAAAGCGATTTCTATAGTATACACATATTATTTATAAATTAATTTATTGGTAAAATATTTTAGCCTCTCCCCCTTGGATACTTTTTTCTATCCAGGACATTGGTGATATTCCTATAGATAATTCCATAGTAAGAGTGGAAATGAGTGTATAAAAATTTAATAAAAGTATGTGCGATTCATAAACGTGTAAACGTCTAGAGTGGCTGGGGCATGTATGGAGAGCTGATGGAGATGTATTAAAAAATGTTCTGATCAGAAAAATAAATAAAAAACGCCCACTTGGAAGACAGAACAAGATGGAAAGACACCGTAGAAAAGGATATGAGACTAATAGATGAGCATGCAACGTTAGACTAGACTTTGGACAGAAAAAAATGGAAAGGCTTACTAGTGGCAGCGCAGGTCCTTAATGTTATATTTAACAGCGTTGCTAAAATTAACAAACAATACAGAATATACAAAGTAACGGCGTTTTAAATATGCAATTCTGATACAATCATTAATATTTAAAGTTGTATCTTTGAAAAAGAGATAATGTCTATGAATAATTATTAGCCCACAAAAAATTTAAATTATTTGAACACATAGATATGGCCACACTGACAATAACTTTTGATAATATTATCAGTTTTTATTAATTTCGATTTTACGCATGCACCACTCCCCGCCGATCATGGAAAATGGACCAGTTTCTTGTTTACCAACTACTCCGAAAATGTCGAAGGCTAAAAAAGTTATCGATGAAGCTCAGGAAAATCAAAATCCTGAGTTGGATTTGGCTGATAAAGGGGTAGTCTCTTTCGAAGAAATGCCAGGGCTCAGTGAGTGTACTAAATTTAAACATTTCCTTTTAAGGAAACTTGTTTCTTATTTACATTTACCTTATAAGGATATCTCTATACTTATTGGCTAAATGCCATAACGTTTCCAGTCTATAAGATTAGGCCTACATTTAATCAAAATAATATAATATGATATTCTTATGATGTTTGAGTTTACTATATTTTGTTTTAACAATTCTACGATTGACTTGTTAATGAGTCCAATTTTAACAAAATCTTTGTTAGTCAAATGCCTGGTGAGAAATTGACTGTCTTCATTCTAACGTTTAATTAAAAAATTACAAAATGATGTTATTCCTTAATGCATATCTTTATTTGCAAATAAATACTCATTAACAAATCATGTTTTTATATTATTTAATGAATATTAAGATATGGAATTTATCATATTTTGTTTTTAGTCTTGGAATACTATTTTTATATTCTTTTCGATTGTTGTTTAAAATGTATACAACCAGTGCTCGAAATGGGGGGGGGGCGGACGGAGTCCGCTTTTAGTTTTCCATAGATTTCAGTGCCCCTTTCATTTAATTAAGCGAGGATCGCTAAAAACAATTCCTCCTGGGTATGTTTACTTTTGAACGGTGTATTTGGGTTTTATTTTCATTTATTTCTATTTTCTATAGCAAACTGCAAATTAATAATTATTTTTTCCCAGAGAACAGTTATTGTTGACGACAATCATGAACTAAGATAATAATTAATGGCATAGGTGTTTCTACTTTCTACTTTTAACAACCTTTTGAGAACATTTTGCTTAATTTTCCACCAATTGACAAGATTAACACAACAAAATGGATTGAATCATGGGTTAAGAAAGGCTAACAAACAGGAGAGAAAGAAAATTGTCCTAAAAGGATATAAATTATTGAAGAAAATGCATACAAGTCACTGTGGAATTTAATTAAAGAATAATATTTATTTATGTAATTAATATTATTATTTCGTTATAAAATAATGATATAGTAATAAGCAAATAAATATTGTATAATAATACTACCTTTATAGTGCCATATTATATGTGCAGGGGGTGCAGGGATTGAAGTCCACAACAGATTACTTTACAATTTATCAGTTATGGAACAGTGTTTTTTGAACTAAAACCAGCGTCCGTCCTCAAAAAGTCCAATATATCAATAAACTATGGAAATGCAAATATTCTTAATTATTTACTAATTTATGATAAACAAAGACTTCTAAGATGGCATGAAAAATATATTTCCCTGATAATAATTTTCTTCAACAATTGAAAATATGTAGTTTATTTAAAATGATAAAGTACTTCATTAAAGCTGAAATAAATAGTTATAACTATGAATTTGATTTAATTTAAGTTTGTTTTTATGGTACCTCCCAAACTAGGAATAAACTCGTTATTTATAAAGTTATTAAGTTATATCCTATAATATATTGATTAATTTGGAATGATATGTACAACTCATAATATGTATACTGAAAATAAATGTATTGTTCTTTTCTCATCCTGCATTCCTCAAATGTTTGTATTATATTAAGTTATATGAGTTCTCTTATATATATTTATATAAAAAATATTCATAGTTTTATAAATATTTTCTGAATTCTATATAAAAATAACTATTTTTAATAAAATTATATATTAATTATTAATTAAATAAAATATTAACATGTTTGATTTCAGTTGATATGCATAATATTACCCGAATAACATTGAGTCATAATAAAATACAAAGTAAGTATTAAATTTACTAAAAATATTTTGAAATTAATTGAATTTGAAATAATTTTTAACAATGCTATTTTACATGACATTATTAGTATGACCAATTTCCTTGATAAATTATATTATATTAGTTCTACAGTTTATATCTCCTAATACAGATTTCTTAAATGATTCCCACTGTTATTAAGTATAGTAAACAATATTGTTGTAATGAACAACAAATATACATTGACAAAACAAATTTTAATAAAATAATACTAATTTTTCTTAACATTGTTTTTTTTTTATTCATTTTAATAAAAGAGATCTTGAAAGAATATTTTAACATAATAAAAATCCTGTACAGTAAGAGGTATTAAAAATTATAAATTATAGTTGTATAATACTATTGTAACTATTACAATTGAAATTAATTTTTAATTTTCAGAAGTGCCTCCTGGAATTGCAAACTTAACTCAATTAGAAATGTTAAATTTGTTTAATAATCATATTGAAGAATTGCCCGTTTCTCTTTCTTCAATGCCAAAGTTACGGATCTTAAATGTTGGGTAAGTTGATATTACTTTTTATATTAAGAAGACGCCACATCCGTATGTGTTGCCTCAGTCTGACATACATACAACATAGCAAATTTACGTTCTGTAATTCAAATGTAGTGATGTTTGTTTTAATATTAGAGTAAACTGACTTATAATCAAAGTTTAAGGAAGAACAATATCTATGTTTGATTGGTCGTCTTTTTCCGATATTTTAATATTTAAGCAAGTTATGAATATGTAAAATATTACAGTTAAAAAAAATCAATAATTATCTTAAAATATCAGAAAAATCTGACCAGCAGAACATAGATAATGTCCTTCCTTTATTGTTTGATTATAGATCAGTTTACTCTAATATTAAGGCTAACATCACTACATTTGAATTACTGAACGCAAATTTGCTATATTATATATGTAACAGATGGAGATAACATATCCGGGTTTTGCATTTTCTTAAAAGTGAAGCATAACATTATTTATGTTATAATATTTATACAGAATGAATCGGTTGGACTCATTACCTAGAGGTTTTGGAGCTTTTGCTGTTCTGGAAGTTTTGGATTTAACCTATAACAATTTGAATGAATCTAGTTTACCAGGAAATTTTTTTATGTTAGGTAATTTTAAAATATTATACTTATAACTATATTGATTCTGTAATTATTAAATATTAATTGATTGAGTAAATATACGTATTACTAAATATTGTCATTGTTTCAGAAACTTTACGAGCATTATACTTAGGTGATAACGATTTTGAGACTATACCACCTGAGATTGGGAATTTAAAAAACCTCCAGATTGTAAGTAAATTATATTTTTAAAGAGAGCGTATTTTTAAGAATTTACTTAAGTGTATTAATAAATTTCAATCTAAATCACTGATTAATTTTATAAAGTTATAATTAATCAATCTAATATTTAACTTTTACATATGATGATTGCATTTATATCATAGTTATATAAACAAATATATCATTATTTAATATGATTTTATAATATTAAATATAAATAAGTTAACAACATCAGTGGCGTACATTCAATCTTTCTCTTAGGGGAGGGGGGGTTAACATAAATAATCGTTATCTTTTTTTTTTTCGTTTCACAGATAAATAAGATAAATAACTACAATAAATAGATATTATTTTATACAACTTTTTTACCAATTTACAGTTTACTTTTACATTACAGTAAATTAATAGCTATTGGAATATAAAAACAGCATAGTTAACAAAACTTTTCAAACACCTATCAATATAATTATTTAATTATCATAATATTTGTATAGTTGTATATTTTAAGTTTAAAGCGTAATACTGAAACTATGAATATATTACACGTCATCAATAATAAAACAATTTTCTTTTTCTTTTTTTTTTAGCCCTGGGGGGTTTGAACCCGGACCCCCCCTCCACGGTATGTACACCACTGATCAACATGCATAACTAATTGTTGATTTTTTTTTTTTGTTATAGTTGGTTTTACGAGAAAATGATTTAATTGACATACCAAAAGAAATTGGTTATTTACCTAGATTACGTGAGTTACACATTCAAGCTAATCGACTTACAGTTTTACCACCTGAATTGGGTAATTTAGATTTATTTGGTAACAAATCTGTATTAAGAATGGATTTTAATCCTTGGGTTGCTCCAATTGCTGATCAACTTCAAGTTGGTGTATCTCATGTAATTGATTATATTAGATCAGAAACCTACAGATAGTAAGTACATAAGTTATTCAAGTTCTTTTTCAAAATGAGTATTCTACATAACTACAAAAATTTTTTTGAATACTTGATCAATTGTTAAATTTCTGTGTAAAATAAAGAATGTAATGATTTAAAAAAAGTTGAATAACCGTGGTACGATTTTTTTCATAAAAGGGTGCTGCCATAAGTGTCATTTATTTCATTAACATTTTAATCAGTTGTAAATTTTAAATTCATAATTTCTAGGAATAATTCTTAAAAGATCCCTACTGTGCTATTTATTTTTATTTATTATTATAGTTTTTAAAATGTTTACTTAAATTGCTTAGGTATAATTTTTTTATTTAAAAGATAATCAAGTAATTTGTCAATAGAGAATAAAAATAAATATATTTTTTTTTATATTTAGGAATTAATTTTATAATTATGGACTAAACTATTATATATTAAGGTGATATATAATAATATATTATAGTTTACAATTATTGTTAAAACTAAATTTTTACAGCTTAAAATATAATTGATGTATATTTTTATATAATATGATTAACTGCATACTTGTTATTATTTTTAAAATAATATAACTTTTTCTATTTTTTTTTAGTTTATACAACCGTCATATTGCTGCTAGAGGTCCACCTCCACCAAAACTTAATGATAAAACTCGGAAGATATCAAGGAATCGTCAATATAGCTAACTTTAATCTAAAAAAATGTATAAATAAATAAAATTAACACTTAAGACATCGGAATTATGGGAACAATTAATATAATCTATTCTATAAACTGAATACTAAAATCCATTTTAGAAATTATTTAAATAAAAAAAATTAAATTATAATTTTACGAAATTATTAAAGTTAAATAAATGTATATTAAAGCGTTAATGATATTATTTCTGAAATATACATTTATAATAGTTAAGTTTTATCCAATTTACTAATAATGTTATCATTCTCAATTATCTTTGAGTACTATTAGAAATTGTTATTACATGTCTCAAAAATATGTCAAATATTCACTATAAATTTTACAGAGGGGTTAATCATTATAATCTATTAAGATTTCTAATTTCATATTAAAGTCCCAAAGCATATATTAAAGGTACCTGCACTTATTTACAATATTCCGATGTCCCTGCTAATGTATCTAAAAAGTATTTTTGGTTTCAATTTGTTTAAATTAACATTGTTATTTAAATATTATATTTATATAGATTTAAAATAATAAATACTATAGTAATATTAATTTATTTTTTTAATAAATAAGTAATAATCCATTGCTTGTTTTATACTAATTTATTTTTATACTAACTTTGTTAATAGAGTTTTAATTATTATTGTGTTAAATAAATTAATATATTTATAAAAACAGTGATTTGCTATATAATTTTTTTATTATTTGATATTTATTTCTATATTTGATGAACACTCTAAATTATTGTTGTAAAATTAAAATAAAAATAAACTAATTGGTCTTAAGTTACTTATCATGTACAGGAACATTGTTGTATAATATTAAAAAAAGTCAAATACGTAGAACGGTGATTTATATCCTAAGCACCTTCTCTAAACTGAAGAGACCACAGGTATGTTTCCCAAATCACTGCATCAATTAAATTTACGATTTACTACCAGACTTGGGTAAAATATTTTTTAAATGTATTAGAATAAATACTCGAATACTTACAAAAAATAGTTCCGAATATGTATTCAAATACTTTATATAAATTGTGTTCCGAATACATTATTTAGAATACTTCAAAAGTATTTTGAATACTTTTAAAATACTTCTAGTTTTCATACTATAAAAATAATAGTTGTCCATTCAACAGAAATGTTTGAAATTGTAGGCTTAATATATGTTATTTTATTGTATTTTTTTTATTACATAACTGTTATAGTTTATGGTTTATAACATTAATAAATACTTGATATTAGCTTATATAAGATACGACGGAGAAGTAATAAAATCATTTAAAAAACAGATGATTTAACGGCATTCGAAATACAGTATTCAAAATACTTTATTGAATACTTTCAAAAAAAGTATTTAAAAAGTATTTCGAAAATTGTATTCGGAGTACTATCCAAGTCTCTTTACTACACATATACATCTTTCAAAAATATAATTATGTACATTATAAGCCGTCATTCATAGCGTTATTAGTAGATTAGTCTATTCTGGACAATAATACATGAATTTATGATTGCTACTTTGTAGTAGAGGTAAAAGCTTTTGATATGTCAACGAAAATTAAAAGTTAATTTTGATTGGTGAAAAATATGTTTATCCGACGCCTACTTTGGACAATTCAGTTAATCGGAGTAAAAATCATAAGAATAATTTTCTTATTGCTCTGTGGGTTTTTTTTTTATTTTTTTTTTATTGAGCATATTATAATATCTCGACAATTGACAATTATTGGAACTACTCTGTGGGTTGCAGGGCATTTCAAAAGCATTTGATATAATTATCTCATTTTGTGGAAAAAGCAGATAAAGACGTGTACACACCCGCACATATTGAAACCAAAAATGAGTTTTATGCGAACGCGTTTTGACAAAACTATAATCAATCTATAGGTTTAGAATCCTAGAGATTCAACATTTTCACGAAATATGAAAGGAAAGTTTAGTTGACAAACAAAACATTTCCTCGCGGCACGTGTCGAAAACCGTAACCAGATGAAAGTGTGCACCGAAATAGAGTGTCCAATGCGGTGAGTATCCGAACACCAGGTGCGATTGTGTAAATTTCTCACGAACCCGCGACACGATCGTCATCCCCCCGCCACCTGCCCGTCGGTTATCGTTCACCATATATGCACGTGTCGGCCGACGGGGCAGTTGACACGTGCGATAATCCTTAACACGTGTCTCAAAACTCAGACAGATATAAAAATACATATTATATTAAATTTTAACTTCGTGTCTTCCGCATCTGACTTGCCGGTGCACGGGATTTTCCGAACACTGTCTGAGGTCGTCATTCGCGGAAACCTTATGCTTACACGTGTATGTGTGTCTGTATGAGATGACCCCTTCAATTCTGAACTTTATGTACTAAAAAAACAACGAAATTAAAAAAAAAAAGCTTAAAGATGCAATATTATAATATATATATGTATGACTTGGTTTATGATAAGGGGACTTAGGTATGAAAAATCATGTTTTCTCTCTTTTTTATTTATTTTGATGGAATTTGAGATACTCTTTGATATGGTGAAAACAAAAAAAGTCATTATGTGTTTAAGTCGTTTGAAAAATGTAAAGAAAAGTAAAAATACAACAAAAAAAAACATATTTTTATTTTTTTATTGTTTTTTACATTATATCGTCATATTTTTCGCTTAAAATGTTTTTTGACGTTGATTACATATTTTCAAAAAATTCTGTTTTTTTTTTGGTTGTATTTTTACTCTTCTTTCTCTTTCTTCTTTTGATACTACTTGACAATTTATTGACATACTCTATAGATTGACAGTTACACACAGTCTTATTAAAGACAAATTTTATTTATTTGCATTTTACATTTTTAAATAATATTATTTTAAGATTCTAAATTATTTTAATTTTTAATTAAATGCAACAATAACCTTTTTTCCCGTGTCTTGCCAGAGAATATTTTACTAGGAATGTTTTTTTCAAGACTTTTCCTAATATCGATTTATATTTCGAAAAGTGATGCGAACCCCATAAACCCTCTCTATTGAAATGTTTTATCTTCGTTAGTTGTTAATAATGGTAAAATAAAGTTATTATATTTAATTTAATTCATTTATAGATTTTCCGACTGTCGAAAGTCTGCATTTCTTTTATTTTAAACCAGATAATTCTATTACTATAGCAATAGTGTATTTAAATATTTCTCGCCCCCATATATATACAATTTACCGACTTCTATCCAATTTTATTATAAAATATTATTATTGTTATTATCAGGGGTGGGCAACTGGCGGCTCGTGAGCCTTTTTTATCTGGCCCGTGCTATATTTTAAAATTACATCATACAATTTTAAAGCTTATCGTCTATACTCGAACTTATCGATATAATAATTTTTATCAGATATTAAACATCGTTAAATGTTTAAATGTCATATGTATGTATATGTGTAGCTTTCAACCATAGCTGTTTGTACCGAACTGTTTAACTACACCTATCAGTTTCTTCGTATTGTGCTGTCGTGTGTGTTGAATTTATTATTTCCGTGTGTATAAATGTTAATTAAAATTCATATTTTGAATGACCTTTTTTTTTTCTATGCTCTGACCCGCTAGATTTTAACTCTCTAAAAATTGGCCTTCCAGTAACTTTGAGTTGTCCATCCCTGTTTATTATTAATATAATTTAATTTACAGTACAACGCGGCGATAGATGATAACGCCAAGGACAATATAATATCGTACATAAATACGAGTATTAGTTGCGTTCACTGTAAAATATAATACATTGAAAAAATACATTTCGGAAAACACCTACTCAACTGTCTGTACTAGAGCTCTTAAAACACGTGTCACGGAATTCACGTGTACACGTGAAATACATGTTTATCCAAAATATATATCCATTTTTACAATGGTAAAATTAGTAATTTTATGTTATACACTTGAAGTTTTAATAAAATATTAACAGTACAGTATTAAGTTTAGGATATACGTTTTTATTTTGAATTTTATACGTGACACGTGACACGTGAATTCCGTGAATTCACGTGTATTAAGAGCTCTAGTCTGTACTAGAATATTTTTTTACTATTATTATGAAAACCTATTTTATGATAAATTATTTCCTTTAAAAACAACCCAAAGAGGGACAAATTATCCATAGCCTCTCGGTTTTTCCTCAAATATGCCAATGCAGTTTTTAAGTATATAATTTAAATATAAAAAAAAATAGTTTTAAAAATGTTTTGATAATTATATTATACCATAACGGTGAACTTAAAAATGTTCTTCCGACTAATAATAACCGATTAATAATATGTTAATAATTAGAATAAGCTATATATTTTCATTTTTATTAGTGCTATAAAATAGTTTAAGGAGATTAAATCAAATTTAAAAGCTTGTAGTATTGGCTTTAGTATTTGTTAAACAAATAAATGTTGTTTCACTTATGTAGCCGTTAGGTATGTAACCGTGTAGGTATCTAACTAAGAAAAATATAAATGCCTGAGCTGTATTTAAAAAAACTCCTTAACAGGATTCTTTTTTTATAATGAAGTAGCAATTTTGTCTGTGATATGTGAATTTGATGTATTACTAAGAGCTGAAATCTTTTTTTCGAGAAAATCAATAAATTAAAATAAGTGTTATTATATTTTTTTAGTTAATAATAAATGTTTAGAAATCCTGAATACGTCATTACATTAGGGTTTCTTTTTATATAATATTGTATATTTACTAGAGTGGTTGAATCATCAATGTTTAATGTAAGTAATCTAAGAATTTAATGGAATAACTCCATCTTGGTCTTTTTAAGCACATCTATAAATTTATACTTATTTATGTTGAACTAAAATATTATGATTTTGATATAGAATCTATCGTATACTTGCTAAATCCTTTTCCTGAAACCCCTGTTTCTATAATATCTTCTTTGTTGAAGTGATTATGACAAACTCGAGAGATTTTTACAATTTCAATCCTAAAAACCTCCCGTATTGTGATCGTACAGTCATGTTAACAGGAGCATAAAATGCACTAATTTTTGAAAAACTTGTTCGTGCGACGGGCAATTTGGTACACAGTACATGTTATTAATTTGAACACAATGTATACACTATATACAAACTTTAAATTGATTTAATTCATTTTGGTGGTGCACTGGTACTGATGTGTGTAATCGAAGATTTAAATCTTAAATATAATTTCAATAAATAGATCTTAAATCGAGTAGTAATACTGTATTGTATTGTTTAAATTAGTTGTATTAATGAAATAATAAACCAAACTTTTACATACCATGATCTTAACCTAGGGCAATTACTAGTAATAGGTGTAGTGTGTTAATATGCTATTACTAGAGCGCGAATTTTTATGCAATCGCATATTTTTTTTCTTTCAATATTTTCGGAATTTTGTCAGTTATCTCCACGAATCATCATAATTTGAAACTAATAATGAAATTTTTTTTTGCATATTTTTGCATATTTTGGCAAAATTCAAAATTTATTGCATATTGAAGTGAAAATTTAAAAAAAAATGTATAAAATAATATTTTGTCCAATAGAAAAATTAAAAATAAATTTCATAGTCACTAAATAATAATTTATATATATATATTTAGTTATAAAATAAATAATCGATAACGACGTAAAATTAATTGCTCTTATTGTGTCAGTCGATTATCGACATACCACTTGCTTCAAATATGCCCCAATAACTTCGGTTGACATCGAGGGTTCGTTTTCAGTCTTAAAAAATATGTTAACCGATAAACGACACAGCTTCACAGAAAATAAACTTGAAATGTATATGATTATTTATTTTAATAATAAATAAAATTTTAAAAATAAATTAAGTTCATAAAATTCCCTAAATTTTTTTGTATTAAGTATTTAAGTAATTAATTTTTATAAGTTGAATTATAAATTTTAAATAAATAAAAACTTCTTGCATATTTTTTGCATATTTTCATAATTTTGACTGCATACTTTTTACATATTTTCATGATTTTGACTGCATATTTTTTGCATATTTTCATGATTTTTACTGCATATTATATGGCATATTTCGATACTTTTAAGTGCATACAAATCCGCACTCTAGTTATTACCTATTATAGGTATATTACCTATTATATAGGAATATAACATGATTTTGATTATATTTTGTACAACCTCCTTGAGAAAAGAAATCTGTTATCAGTTTTATATTAATCGATATCGGCAAATGATAAATTCATAACTCAAAGTTAAAAACGTGTTCTAAATTTTATATTTAGTTTTTACGGCGTGTTTCAAATTGTTAATTAACTCTTGTATATAAAATGCCCAAATTGACCAAAATCTTCGTTGGAAATCTTCCATGGACAGTTAGTAGTCGAGAACTTCGTAAATATTTTACTTCATTCGGTCACGTAGCGACAGCAGACGTATTGTTCGATCATACTACTGGTTTGTCAAAAGGATACGGCTTTGTTCAGTTTACAACTACTGGTGGATATGAAAGTGTTTTAAAAAATCCCAGACATGAACTAGAAGGACAAACATTAGTTCTTCAACCTTCTGATAGACAATAATTGTCTATTCTTACAAAAAAAAATCCTAATTTTTGATACATTTGTTAAGAACTCATTTATAGTAAAGTTTTAAGTTATGGATTCTAAACATTTATCTGTTCAGTTTGAAAAAGCGGTCTCATTTATTTCTGGCTCCAGTTTAACTGACGTTAAATTGCAACTAAAATTATATGGTTTATATAAGCAAGCACTTGAAGGTAAATGTAATCAACCAAAACCTCCAATATTCGACATAAAAGGACGTAAAAAATGGTTTGCCTGGTCTGAAATGGGTTTAATGTCTAAAGAAGAAGCTATGGCAAAATACATAAATTTAGTTAAAGATATAAATCCAAACATTGAAGCAGAAAAAACTGGTTGGGTTACCGTAAGTACTTTTGCCAATGATGAACAGCCCCTAATGGAAAACGAAAAAACCATTAGTGACTGGGTAAAAGAAGGAAACTTAGATAAAATAAAGGAATTCGCTGGTAACATCAATGTTAATGATTCTATGGGAATGGCACCAATACACTGGGCTTCAGATCGTGGAGATTTTAAAATTTTAACATTTTTGGTTGAAAGCTGTTCAGCTAATGTCAATTTTCAAGATAGTTCAGGTCAAACAGCTTTACACTATGCTATATCCTGTGGTCATGAAGATATTTGCAAATATCTAGTTAGTATGGGTGCTCATACCAACATTCAAGATAATGATGGAGTCACTGCACAAGATTTATGTTCAGATGAATTATTTAAATCAATATTATCAAGAAACTAAATGATTAAATGTAGTGTATGTATTATTTTATTGTATTGAAAGATTAATAAATAAAAAAACATTCTCTAGATATCAAAATTTTTAATTTTATTCAATAAATAACAATTTATGATAAATAAATAAAAGACCTTTATGTGTGTTTACAATAAATTAAATAATCTACTTTTATATGAGAAATTGTAAAATGGTCGATATTAGAAACCAATTCATATAATACTTAATTAACATTATTCAAATATAGAATATTGATATAAATTACATCATTACATTACAGATAAGAGTTAATGTACTTAAACTTAACAAATTAATTAGGTATTTTATATTATATAATTATGATAACATTAATTTAAGTGTTAACCATAATACCTTGAAAGACTAAGATGTGAATATTTATAAAATTCACTTGGTTTACAATGATAAAAATGTTACTTATAGACCTGCAGTTTTTTTTTTTAATATAAATGTAAATAATTGATTAATACACATAACTTAACAAGTATAAATTATAAAAACAATAAATTCATTGATTTTTAAAATTAATTGTTGAAATGTGCACACAAAATCAAACAATTTAAAGAAGTATTACTTAATATTTTATGAAATTAGTTTAACCATCTGGTTAATATTTTTAAAATAGTAACTCACAATTAAAATATTGGTATGAGAAAAAATGTTATTTACAAAACAAAGAATAGTTCATATAAAAAAAAAAATCATAACATCAACTGGTCAGTTGTTCTGCATTATATTTATTATCATCACTTAACTAAATAGCCACAGAATAAATGTATTCTATTATATATATTATATATTCTATGTATACATCTATTCTGTGATATAGCATCTACACATAAATATCTTAATTAAATTGAGTTCATTATTTTGAATAGTTATAATGTAAAGTTTAGTTACATCAAAAGTTATTTTAATATCAGTTTATGCCATATTCATATACCTACTACTAGTCAGTAAAAATTCAAGTTATTTGGTTGTCATAATGAATCTGTTTAAAAATTGTGTTTTAATTTTGTGGTTACATCAGTCTAAATTAATCATATTACAATATGTACTGTAAGTAGGTAATCATTTAGATAGTTTCTTCAGTGTTGAGTATTGTACAGTATATTACGATAGTAAATGTTGGATTTTTTTCCACTTAATTATATAGTATAGTAATAATAAGTATATAGTAATTATATATATTAGTCTATTTAAGTCAATTGTATTATTTGTGCATACATTTATACAGATTGACTTCATTTAAATTTATATAACAACTATTTTTTTTTCTATATAAATATTGTATTGTAGTAGCTATGTAATGGGATACCTAGTTTGAGAAAAATAAAAATTTTACACTTTTAAAGTTATAAACTACCTATTTAAGTAAATTATTGTTATGATCATACATGATGAACTTATCCAAACTACTATTCAATATTAGTTTATTTCAATAAAAGTCACTTTAATATTTCAATATACGTCCCAAGAATCTGAATATAAAATTAACATTTAATTCTAAATTAATAAAAGGCTGAGGCTTGTTATATAGTTATTTGTCATAGTTAAAGTCAATGTTAAAGTTAGTAGTTGTAACTTTTAAAAAAACATAGAAGTCAATTGTATAGTTTGGCTTTGTGATTATAATTATATATGATGATATAAAACTGTTATAGCCTTACAAGTTACAGGTCTAATCTGTAGGTCAGGTTGGTAATTTAGTGCTTAAAGTGTGATGTATTAAAATAGAATTTATGTCTTTAGTCCATGGTCATAATGTCAGATGTAAATTTAGTACCTGGTCGGTTTGTTATTAGTTTATAAAAAGCATGTTATGAATAAGTAGGTGGTACCAAACTAATATGAATTTCATATGGTCAATAGTTTTCTGTTTTTCATCGTTCAAATTAAAATAAATATGTTTTTATGGTATTATACCTTACAGGTAGAAAGAATACAATTAGGTAGGTAGGTGAATATTTATTAAAATTGGAAACTAATGTTTCCACTTAAATCGTATAATTTCCAATGTCTGAGAGAAAATTGATATGAAATAACCATTTTAATATTAGATTTATATAAAAAAAAAAATTATTAATATTAAATAATTTTTTTATTTAAGTACATTTAAATACTTATTAACTATAATTTAAACATTAAATTAAAATTTTTTGTTTTAATTAGTCGGTTCAATATTGTACTGTCAGATATTGGAGTTATATCTCAAGGAATACGATACAAGGGCAAGAGCTGAGAGCTCCAACAGGTAGGAAATCAAGGAGGGGACAAACAATGTAGTTATGCATGAAGATAAAATAAAAAACAAGTTTTAATCATAACATTAAAATCAGGAAGAAGTGGTCGCCCCTGGAGATGTCCTTGATTATGTTTTAGACTATTCGACAATTGTGAAACTTTGAAAAGAAATTTAGAATTCTTGTTATTTTTAATTAATTTTTTAAAACATTATAAAACAAAAATAAATCGAGAATTATTTTTTAAATTTGTACTTCAAAATAGTTTAGCTTAGGTTTCTGAAATTATGGAAATTAGAAAGTTCTTCTTGGAAATGTATTAATATTTTGATTAAAAAGGATAATAGTATTGGAATTTTATGTGAAATAAGTGCATTTGGAAAATCTTAGATTACCATTGGAGAAAATTAAATGGTTAATTTAAACGATTTATCAAAAATAGCAATTACATTTAAAATCTATGAATGTATGTATAGCTTATGTATAATATATGCATGTATTTATACAAGACGTATCAAGTGTTTCATGAGTTGTTACTAGTTGAATCGTTAGGTATACTTAGTTATGTATGTTATGATTACAATTTATAAATAAGTAATTAATTGTAAATTAAGTTGTTTAAATAGTATTGTGTTTTATATTTTTTATTATTTATTCTAGGAAAATATACAAAAATTAAATTATAATACTTATTATTTGGTGTGCGTTGTAAAAAAATGTTTATTAAAATTAAAATAATGTAATTGTTATTAGCAGTAGAATTAAAAGGTATGTCTTGTTTGTTTTATTTTTATTATGTATACTTACTTAGTTTAATTTGTCTACGTGTACTAGTGAGTGGTGTTTACAGTAATGGGAAATTTAATATTACAATTTATGTGATATATAGTATAAAATGTTATTTATATGTATTGGAAGTAAAGTGCATCGTAAATTGTAAGTTTAGTCATTGTATTCCGTTACAAGTATAAAGTTTTATGTTTGAGCAGGTCAGTCGATTAGTGGTTTGATAATATGGTGTAACGTTGCGTGAATCATTTAGAGAATTATGTTTGTGTTCGGTTTGTCAAAAGAGTAGGTAATAATAATTAAATAATTATTTTATCTTTGATAAGTACCTCTACCGAAGTTAGCAAATTTGTCAAGTCTTAGTTTAGTCGAACGTAAGTATGTGGTTTAAGTATTAGGTAATTTTTAGTTTGGAATTGTAATATATATATATAAGTTATAGATGGTACTAGTTTGTTTATAGTTTTTTCTACTTGTTAAGTAGGTACCGCAAGACTTCGATATCTCGACATTCTCAATGCATCTACGAATTATAAAAAGTATAGAATAAAATCTTTTTTTTATATCTCGTAACTTCACTTTAATGAAAAAACCTAATCAGTTTTCTTGATCAGTTGTGAAATAGTTTTTTATTCGTTGAACAATAAAAGTAATCTACTAATTAATGTTTTATTGGTTACCATTTTTACAATTTGAACCATTATAATGGTATAGATATAGATGTCTTTATTAGGTGTACTAGATATTTATACTTTTTTGTTTGATTTATAACTCTGCTTATAAATTATTTATGTGATCTGTATAGTTATAAAAGTTGTATACAATTAATGGACAATAATTATTAAGAAAAGTACAACAAGTAATGTTTAGTTTTGTATGATAATCATTCTTCGTGTATGTTGGGTAATAGAGTCATGTAATTCAAGGATGCGTCCAGGATTTTTTTTTAGGGGGGGGGGGGCTAAATTCAAATAATTTTAATATTAATTGGTAGTATTTATTTTGAAATATGTACAGAAATCTTAAAGCTGCACACAATGCTGTTCTTCAGAGTTTTCCACAGTGTAAAATAGTTTGCTGTAAATTCCATTTAGAACAAAGTTGGTTCAGACGTTTGCAGAAAAATAAAAGTTTATTTAAAGAATAACTACTCAAATGATTCTTAAGTAGGGAGGTGGCTTAAATAAAATAATTGATATACTATAGTTGATAATTTTTTTTATAATAATTTAAAGTCAAATGTCAATTGTCAATAAACCTAATAAAATTATCAAAATGTTTGGGGCTACCCATTATGGGGGGGGGGGGCTAAAGCCCGTTAGCCACCCCCTTGGGTGCGCCCTTGATGTAATTATAAATGTTATATATAATATAGTTTTGTATAGTTAACAGAATAATTAACTTTTAAGTAATATAAATAACGTAGATTGAAGTTAAGTTGTTGCGTAGTGTTGTTGTATTGTTTTTTAAAGGGCGCAATGGTTAATGTAGATTTTATATATATAGTTAAGTAAATAAATATGTTGTTTGATTTCAGTTGGTAAGTATAGTTTTAATTTATTCGGTTAAAAAAATCAAAAAATAAAAATCTTTCTTTAATCGTCATATATATTTTGTCAATATATTTTTCTAACTGTTGTGATTATTGAGTTACGCCATATTAATATAATTAATATATATATATATATATATATATATATTATAGTATTGAAGGTTCATTCACAATTAATTAAATATTTAAACAATTTATAAGTATTAATCACAGATTTTAAAAAATAATGTGAACTAAAATGATATTGCTATTTTTAATTCATTTTTAGGAACATGTAAATTAGGACCAGTAATACAAAGACATAGGGTTTTGAGGGAAATGTGAAGAACAGAATTTAATTTGAATGGATGAAGTGGAGAAAAGTTTCAGGAATGTAATAGGATAAGGGAATCTCAATAAGATTTAAAGGAATATTTAAAAGATAGTGGAA